TTGTCTCCTTTTTGGGGATGTGCTCCACTATGAGTGTGGAGTGCGGAGTGTGTGTGATTCCGTTAGCCATTTCCTTGGCCATTTACCCCCGTTGCATAATTAATGGTATTAAAAGCGTTAACTGACATCCAACACACACACACACACACAGACACAGACAGCCACACACACGCCGAATAGTTGGCATAATTTGAGCATTTCAATGAGGTCGATAATTTGATGGTTCAAAGGTTACGGGAACTGCTAACGAAATGGGGGGAAAGCCAGCAGCACGCACGCACACACACACACACACACACACACTCCACGTAGACAGCAGCCTTTTCAGCCAAAAAAGATACATTTGTATCTTTGTGCGTGCGTCTGCTGCCAGCTACTTTTATCGATGTCTGATATCCACGAGTGTGTTCCTGTGCCTTTGCCATGTGTACAAATATAATCAGTTTAAAGATGAAGAAATCCCAAAAACAACAAGCCGCTCTTTCTACCCCCCAAACACAAAAAAAAGAAAGAAAAAAAAAATAACAAGAACATTCGGAAGGTATTTCCCGGGTCCCAGCGGCATGACATTGAATCCCCAAAGCAACCCCAAAACAAAAATACACGCTCACACAGACAGAGAGAAAGAGAGGAGCTTCATTCACTGAAATGAAATGAAATGAAATGAACAGCCGGGAGCCGTTTAAAAAGCTCACTCATAAGAAAACCACTCAAAGACAGGCGCCACAGCATCTCATAGCCACTCACTTTCGCTCTCTTCTGGCCGGCTGGCTGGATGGCTGGCTGGCTGGCTGGCTGGCTGTCCTGTCTCTCCCGCGCTCCAAGCGAAAGTGTTTTCAACAAGTTCTCTTCCGGCAAAAATAAAAAAAAAGGATAAACCGAAGCTGCAGACAGAACACACAAAACAAGCAAGCAACAACAAAGCCGGAGAAGAAGAAGTTCCAGATCCAACCCCACCGAAAAAGTCTATTATAATACAAAGAAAGCGGGCAAGGGCAAGCAAGAAGCCAAAGAAGCTGTGGGAGTGGGTGTTTTTTTTTGTTTGGGGGTGGCTGGGTTGGCCAGAGGGTGCTGCTGGGGCGCGCTGTGAAGCGTGGAGCGTTAAGCCGAGAAAGAGCATAAATAAATAAAGCCCAACAACAATAGAAAGCACCACCAGAAACAGAAACAGCAACAAAAGCAGCAACAAAAGCAGCAACAGCAACAAAATGGTGACGGCCATGTTTTTGTGTGGATTTCTCTCGCTCTCTTTATTTGTGTGTGTTCGTGTGTGTGTGTTTTGGTGGAGAAAATGCCAAAAGGCATAGAAATGGCGCGAAAGTAAGTTTTCGCATTATTTTAGGCTTGACTCTCGCCCCACACCCCCAGCCCCAGCCACTACACAAAGCTCTCCTGCCTTCTGCCTTCTGCCTCCTGCCTCCTGCCTCCTGCCTCACCACCTTTGCCTAGCGTTGCTTCTTCATTCATTTGCTGCTTTTTCTTACGGAGCATGCTTCCTCCTCTGTGTCATTTCCTTTGAGTTTATGCGACAATAAAGTTGAAAATTTTGAATATTATCGTTAGTGAAAAATTAGAGACAAGTTGCCGCCGACTCCTCACCCGTTTTACCCTTACCGGAGAGAGGGAGAGAGAATAGCTGTTCCTGGATACCCTTGAAGGGCAGCATCAAGACCAGAATCCCGACTGCCTAGTGTATCCCATGGCTTCCATTTGAACTATAGATCTGGTAGGGTATCAGAAGTGTCGGCACCCACAAGCTACATTATCCATCTGGTTGTTTCTGCTGCTGCTGCTGCTGCTTGTTGGTGTTTTGCCGGCGTGCGCCAAAAACGCTCTCGGCTCCGCGCTGCCTGTTCACGCTGTTGCCTGATAACATCAGCGACAACATCCGAGCCGCCAAAGAGGAAAGAGAGAAAGTGGGGTGGGGGAGACGCAGGAAGCAGCAGCCAAGAGGTGGCAGGCAGGTAAAGCGATTTATGCTCTCTGGAAATTCATCATTAAATTTGTGTGAGTTTTTGCTGGCGATGCCCGGAGAGATAAGGCCACAATTTTCGCCTGTTGTTGTTTTTGCTGCTTTGCAAATTTACAGTTAATCGTTCTGCCCCACCCCCATTCCTGGCTCCAGAGAATGCCCCCTGGCCATAAAGAAAAACCTTAACTTTTGGATAAAGATATTTCGAATTTATTTCAATTGTCTGTGCCTCGAATGCCGTGAATGGAACGGGATTGGGATGGATGGGGGGCTTAGAGGTTATCGGCTGCCAGATGGATTTGAGGATGTTGCGGGGGCCATAAAGTTTGTTGATCGGTGTGGAGCATTTAAGAAACTATTTTCAAAGGATTTCAACTAATTTTAATAGATTGGTGCAGCCCCGAATGATTATTAATTATTTAAAAATAGAAGGAAGGGTTATTCAAATATAAGTCTATAGTCTAACTGCTGAAACCCATTATCCATCCCATTGTTGCTTATTTTTCCCATCTTACAATTTGCTCGCCTCAGAAATCAGCCTCCCCTGCTACTCCAAGGCATTGATTCGGCAATTTAAGGACTTGTCCAGCCACTGAAAAATAGGAAAATCTCCACCCAATCGAATTTCTGCTCGGTGTCCGGCCCCCAGCTCCAAATATGAATGACCAATTATGCACTTCGTTGGCTCTACGTGCCTGAGCTGCCAATAGACCCCCCACCATAGCAGAATCATCGCCATCCAAGCTCCATCCCATTCCCATTCAAGTGCCATGGGATGGGTGGTGGTGGATGTCGCCCCTGAGGTGCGCCTCTGTCATGTGCGAGCATTTGATGATGCGTAGCTTTTCATTAAATGAAAATTTCGCGTTGCTGGCAAAACAAAGGACAAAGAAGAGGCCAAAAGAGCAAACTTTGTTGCCGCAGAAGCAGAGAATCCTGGCAAAGGAAGCAAGCGATGGCGATGGAGATGGCGAGGGAGAGCCCAAAGATGGAGGACACTTTGATTTATTGGCAGGACGCGACTGGAATTTTTAATTGCCCCAAAGGGAGTGGGGCAGGGAGCCGAGCGCAGCAGCAGCAGCAGCAGAGAGCAAAATCCTAGCGCCGCATAGGAAATTGAATTGGTCAGGATTCGTCAGTACGCGATTCGTAAACGACAAGGAGACATATGCAAATGGATATCTTCAAGGATACGCCAAGGGGAGCACTGGCAATTTATGCATCCTGTCAGGATATTTTGAAAACATTGTAATTCAAGCGTGAGAGGGCACGGGATGCAGTGCCGCTTCCGAGAAAGTCAATTAGCTGCCCATAAAGATGCAGGGCGATGATGGGCCCAATCCCTCCTATACCAGGGGATGAACCTCTCCTATCCACCACTCCATTCCACAGCCCATCAAGTGAATGATCCTCCACAATAGCCACTCGATACGTATTCAAATTTCATAGGTTCTCCTCGCTGCAGTTGCATCTGTGAGCGTTTCCACGCTGTAACTCGATATTGCATCTGACAGATACATGGCTCTCGCTCCCTCAGGGGTTGGGATGGGATGGGATGTGCCTGTGTGTGAATGATGATGACGCCGCTGTCAGTGCACATCGATTCTGGGCCCTCAGCGCCCCACATCTGTTCCCAGTGCAGACCCTCAACCAGTTCACAGAGTCGACGGCGACGGCGACGGCTCAATTCGACTTCGATTAGCTTCACGCGCTGCTTGTAATCTACAGAAATTGCCTCTACTTTTGTACATATGTACATTTGTGATTCCAAATAAATTTGTGTATAAATTCGCTTATAATTCAGCATGGTGTGGCGCTGTGTGAATGGCATTCTGGCCTCGCTTTGATTCATTTTCATCTGCGATCTGTCTGGTTCAATATTTTCTTATCAGTTTCAGCTTCAATTGAAATTCGTTATCGAATATTTCGTGTATGAATTATGGATTGCTGAATGGTTTTCAATGCGTTAATGTATAAGCTGAGCTTTTTTGGGGTGTATACGAATAGGCATATACCCTCCGATATGGATATCCTCAAGAAACTTTCGCTCTCAAGAGATTTGTAGATTGAAATCCCAAGGATTATCTTGTGATCCCTTTCAGACTTTCAAGGGCATACAAAAATTTGCTGACACTCTCCCACAGAGCAGGGACATATGCAGATGTTTCCCCGCTGGTTAACACTCCACCTCCCGCCCACCCTGCACCCAATGACGCAGCTACCCTGCTAATTTGTTCAATTTGTCGAGTGAGGAACAACACAACAACAAAAAAATGATGAAAATTGGTGGGCCACCCGCTGTGAGAATGAGAAGGAAGGAAAATATTATTTCTGCAAAGCGGAACAAGGAACAAGGGGATGGGTATGGGTATGGGTATATGGGTGTATGCTATCAGGATAAGGCCCTATCATGTCGCGGATGCATAAAAGTATTTTTGCCATTTAAATGCGCCACTCACGGGTGTCAATTTCCAGCGGGGCACATATCACGGATCCCGTACAGCCGCAGGACATTCGCCGGCTGTCGGATCGGGCACTGCAAGCCACTTATCGCGTCCGCAGCCCCGGGGCAGGGCATCGTTTAGACAACAACAACGAGGCAACGCGGCAGCAAGGGGCAAGTGGCAAGGGGCGCACTCGAACTAGCCGCAGGGCCAACATCTGCTTGAAAATAGTCAGGAAAAGCAGCAGCAAGTGGCGGTGGCGGTGGCAGTAGCAAGTGCAGGCAGCAAAAAGGCGAAAACCCGTGATTAGCAGCTCATAAAGCCGCATCCGAAGTCGTCATAAAGAGACTTAATTGAAGGCAGTACACAGAGCGAAAAAAAAGGGGAGGGAAGTGCCACTGGAATAAAGTTTAGAAATCAGCAAAGAATGATCTGGATTTGTGGTGGTATCCAGAGTATTCCTGGGACTTAATTACCAATTTATTTGAGTAAGAGAACTCTACTGTTTTTTTTTGTTTGTTGGCAGTGTAAAGTTTATTGACTAATTTTGCCCACCATTAAAAACGTTTCATTGCTTCTTTCAGCTTCTTTCTCAAGTTCTTCTTGAAGTGCAATCAAAACTGCCTGAAAAATGCGGGCAACCCGCGGGATATGCGCAGATTCCAGGTGAGTGGCGATGCCTAACCAAGAATCGATGATTATCGGTGCTAATCGGTAACTTTGCCGTCTCCCCCTCTGCAGGTGGTCATCTCGACACAGGTGGCCGTGGACGGACCGCTGCTGGCCATCTCCGACAACATGTTCGTGCACAACAATTCGAAGCACGGACGGAGGGCCAAGCGGCTGGACACCACGGAAGGTACAGGCAACACATCCCTGTCCATATCCGGTCACCCCCTAGCGCCCGACAGTACCTACGATGGTCTGTAGCAAAATTCCAATTATTCCACAAAACACTTTTTTTCGTTTTACGTAGCCCCAGCCCCCCAGCAATCCCCTCCCCTCCCCTCCCCCACACCACTATCCAAAAGAGTTACCCATCCCCGACATTTTTGATTTGATTTGTAGCAATTGGCAGAGAAAATCCCAGAGAAAAGTTGCATTTTGGCGAAGCATTTGACTCACCTTGAAACCCATTGGAATCCATTGCAGGTCTCTATCCGCCCCTGCCGGTGGCCACGCCCTGCATCAAGGCCATCTCCCCGAGCGAGGGCTGGACAACTGGCGGCGCCACAGTCATCATTGTGGGCGATAACTTCTTCGATGGGCTGCAGGTGGTGTTCGGGACGATGCTCGTGTGGAGCGAGCTGATCACCTCGCACGCCATCCGCGTCCAGACCCCGCCCAGGCACATACCCGGCGTCGTCGAGGTGACGCTCTCCTACAAGAGCAAGCAGTTCTGCAAGGGATCGCCCGGACGCTTCGTCTATGTCTGTAAGTGGTCGCCCATCGCTCCCTGCCTCCCGCCCTCCCTAGTCCATGCCTAACCTCTCGATCCATTTCTGCGCGCTTCAAGCAGCTCTCAACGAACCCACAATCGACTACGGATTCCAGCGCCTGCAGAAGCTCATACCACGCCATCCCGGCGATCCGGAGAAGCTGCAGAAGGAGATCATATTGAAGCGGGCCGCCGACCTGGTCGAGGCTCTCTACTCTATGCCCAGGTAAGAGCATCATCTCCGCCCCGAATCCTCCGCCCGCAGCCTCTCACTCTTTCACTGTCTCGTCCCCCATGGCGCGCAGCAGATCTCCGGGCGGCTCCACCGGCTTCAACTCCTATGCCGGGCAGCTGGCTGTCAGCGTGCAAGACGGCAGCGGCCAGTGGACCGAGGACGACTACCAGCGCGCCCAGTCGAGCAGCGTGAGTCCACGCGGCGGCTACTGCAGCAGCGCCTCCACACCGCACAGCTCGGGCGGCTCCTACGGCACCTCGGCCACCACGGCAGCGGTGGCAGCCACGGCCAACGGCTATGCGCCCACACCCAACATGGGCACGCTCTCCTCCTCGCCGGGCAGCGTCTTCAACTCCACGTCAAGTAAGTAGAGCATATCCCCCCACCCCACCCGTAGTACTAAGAGCTGAAGGGAACGATACGAGCTTTGACTTAGAGAATGAGTCCATGAAGACATAAAGATAGAAGGAAGGCGTAGATAGAGGTGCATGTTTCTTGAAGGAAGATCTTGATGAAAGGAAGCCAAATAAAGGTATAAATCAGTTCTTAAATTAGGATAATCCATCGAGGATAGAAGGGACCCTTCTGTATTAAAGATAAAAGATGCAAAGCAAGTTTCAGAAGAAATATTCTTCTGATAGAAATAGAATAAAGAACAGATATTTGTATAGCTCAGCAACGCTGAGATATCGTTGCCCCCTTCTACGATCCATCATCTCTTCAGAGTCCCAGGCAATTTTCTTTCCATTGATTTAGTTTGGTTTCTCTGTTACATATTATTTCAACCTGTCCCCTCGTGACACCCACCCACCCACCCACTCAAACTCGAACTCAAAGCCCAGTCCCAGCCAACCCCAGCCAAAGCCATTCCAAATTACCCATCCCCCCCAACCGCCTCCCAAAAAAACAAAGTGAACAAAAGTATGCTCAGCAAAGTGCATTTTCCGCCATTAATTTCAACAGTGTCCGCCGTGTCGTCGACGTGGCATCAGGCGTTCGTGCAGCATCATCATGTGGCCGCCGCCCATCCGCATCACTATCCGCATCCCCACCAGCCGTGGCACAATCCGGCCGTGTCAGCAGCCACGGCGGCGGCCGTTTAAGGAGCTACAGCAAGCAGAAGCTCATCGCAGAGCCAATGGAAGAGACGAGCAGCATCAGAAGAGGAGGAGGTGCAGAAGGAGGAGTGCAAATGGGAATGGGCCGGAGTAACGACATTTTGTTGAAATTAAATGCTGCTGAAACACGCCCACCCACACAGACACCAGCCCCCCCACCAACCCACACAGAAAACACACACAGCTGGACAAATTCAGATCCACTCTTATCTCTCGGCAAGGACGCCCTGCAATCTGTGGCTGTGGCTGAGCACTGAAAACCAAACACACTTCCACCTACAAAAACACCACAGACAACACACGATTAACGGTATTTATAATTTTGATTATCCCAATATTTAACTCTAACTACGATTAATATACCCCCAAAAATATATACTGATCTATTGTCTGTTTGGTGGGCTATCTAACTGGGGAAAGATCAACTTAGACGAGGAAAAGCACTCAAATAATACCCATTTATATATCCTCACCATAAGTATTATTGAGTGCCTAAAAATAGGAAACTTTCTACTCAGGAAACCTCAATTTCCCTTTAACTAAACGCATACAAATAAGTTAATTTATCTTTGATATTTCCCTGGAACTAATTCCAACACCAACTTCTCACATTTATTTGCAGGAGTCAGCAGCCTGAGCTTCAATCCCTTCGCCCTGCCCACCTGCAACACCCAGGGGTACAGCACCAGTCAGCTGGTGACTTCAACCAAATAATATTACTACTAAATGAGGCTATTGGCAGGCCAACCAATACTCCCCTCCCAACTGGAAAGCTCGAAAGTGCAATAAATAGAAGAAGAAAACAAAAACAAAACAAGAAAACTGGTTCCAAAATAAAAAAAAAAACACACACTTAATCAATATAGTTGTATATTTTGTCGATTGATTCCCGTTTTTGATTGTGTTTGAGAATATGCCTAGGCAATAGATACTACTAAATACTTACATATACACATACATATATGATACCATATCAGAGTAAAGGAAATACATATGAAATGGGGGGGCATATCATGCTGGTGGGAGAGACTCCAAATTTGATTCAACTCTATGTACATATACTATACCTATATATATTACCTAAATGAAATATATACATATATCATAACGATCGGATCTGTGAATAGAGGAAATTATACCAATTTATATGTATACCCATGATGATTGAAAATTATACGAATTCAGATATACCAAAACAGATGAAACATTTTTGAATAAACCTTTGGACATACACCTAACTAAAATATGCTTGTATACGACACCCATCTGGATGTACGAACTTATAGGGAAATACTCTCAAAACTCAGCCAGAGAAAACCGAAATCAAAATGTTATATACCTAAATAGATATACACACACACACACACACACACACACACAAATTGCTAAAACCAGAACTTAAACATTTGCCGCATACATACATATCTAGCATAATACTTACATATTGCAAGAAATTTATAAATACAAACATACAAAACTTTTGGCAAACATATCGTGCACTTAGTCCTAGTAGCCATCTCTCACATAAACAAAACACACACAATCAATCCATAATACATTTTTGTATCATATCATCTCATATCCAAAATTTAGAAATTCATTCGGAGTAACACCAAAATCATCATTAGATACATTTAGCTATTCAAGTCAGAGTGTTTGATAAACTACCGATTTGTTGACTAGAATCTAAGCCTAGGCCTAAGATATCTGGGTGCATATACATACAATATGCTTATACATATACATGCTATACATACGAGTATACAACAGACATGGCATACAGACCGAGTACAGCATAAGTTTATTGTTTATTTGTAGAAGTTTTATTGCAATCTGTATTTGTATTGTATTATATAATGTAATTGTATGCTTGTACGTCTAGATCTACTCGACGAGCGAGAGGAATCGCCTCCATACCGATATGCCGATAGGGATATGCACATACATATTTATAAGAGATTGGCATAGACAGAACTTAGCCGCAAAAATCGATTTGTAAATTATAACATAATATACAAATAATAATTATAATTCTAATCTAGCAACGCTCTCTGTTTTGTAAATCTTAACAAGTTATTTAAATAAAATTTATTTAAAATAAACGTCATCAATAATATGAAGATGAATGCAGCTTTTCCACTATATATCTCCCTCTCTCTCTTTCTTTTATTGTTTTCTCTGTCAGATCTTTATTTGGTTATTTATTCTAGTTGTGAATAAAGTTTTTACATTAATGCTGATAAAAATGATGCAGCCTCGTACTCGAGGATAATCTATTAAGTGGATTTACAAAATACATAAAGTCGTAAAGTTAGCCTAATCGATTAAATGCAGCTACCCAAAAACCGAACGAGCAAGTAACACATTCAAACACATTCATCTTTGTGTTATGTGGCTTCCTTTTTCGCTTTCTTGGTAGCCACACTTAATCTATACAATTCATTCGTCCTTGGCGGAGCCGGATTCCTCGCTTGCCTTGAAGATAACTTCCTGGATCTTGGTGCGCACATAGAGCTTGCGGCTCAGCGACATCTGGCGCATGCTGGGCACAAGGCTCAGGGCGAAGTAGTAGTCGTCATCCTTGCTATGCTCCTCGTGGTTCTGCTGAATAATGTAGCTCAGTTGCTCGCTGACCGTGGTCAGGCGGTCGATGGATGTCTCCAGGTTGTTCTTCAGCTGTTTGGCCGCGTTGGACGTGTTGGGGTTTGAGGCCACCACAGTGGCCACGACTGGTGCGGCGCTTATGGTGGCGCGGGTCTGGCCGTTGGGGTTCAGCACGGTGACCTTTGCGCCAGACTCGAGGGCAACCTCCTCCTCCATAACATGTATGGGGCTGTAGCAGAGCGGATCTTCGCTGTAGATAATGTCCTTGATGTCCTCGCTGATCTCATCGTTCTGCTCATACTCCTCCCACTTCTGCGGGAGTGCTCCAGCCTCGCCTACGTACGCGCTGGACTGCCTATCAATCTTCGGCTTGGCCACATGCAATGGCTCCCGTACCAGCTGCTTGGCCTTGGTAATTCGCACGGTTTTCTCTGCAATTATACATATGCGATAGAGTGTTTGTTAATAAGATATGCGATACATTGAAACTCGTCGAAAAACATCAATAGCCACCAAGAGATGGCAGTCCACGATAGTTTACCCCAAGTCGGCCATAGCGCGCCCAATGCTCGATAGCGCGTTCGGCCTCCCGCCTAAAATGTTCGCTAGCTGATAACAGGACTGTACAGATTGTTGTTTACCTTTTTTAATAATGGGAATTATACGCCCTTGGCGGCTCTGCACCGGATTCACGATCACCTCGTCGCTGTGCTTGTGGCGCAGATGCGTCCACAAATTGGTGGTATTGTTCCCCTTCAAATTGCTGGCCATGCCACCACGCGATATATTATTACCGCAATAGCGGCATATCGCAAAGTTTTCACAATCCTCGTTGATGTCATAGTGCTGCCACACATTGCTTACGCGTCCCTTTGGCATCTTTACTTCTTAGATATGAATTAATTTGTGAAAAACTAAAATTTTCTCTACAAATGAAAATGCCGATTATATTAGCGTTGCTGGCGTCAGTGTTGTCCAATGTCCAATACCCATTTTAGTGTTGCAAAATGCAAAAAGTGTAAGGGAGGGGAAACAAAGAAACCAAAAAGTAGAAATAAAAATACAAAAACAATTATATTGAATAAAAAGATAAATGCGCTCTATTAGTTTAATTTGCTGAATTTATATTATAATAATCTCATGGCACGTATTTACATACACAAATCTGTTTGTTGATGGGCGCAACCCTGACAGTGGGAACTGGCAGATTTTGTACAGACAATTTGGTTTCACTTGTGTATGTACTCATATGTATGTATGTCGGTGTGTATCTATGTTTGTTTCCCCCCAGAATATTGGTTTGTTTTATTATTTGCAACACTTGTATTTGCAAGGAACGGAGATGTACATATCGGTCACAGATTACGGTACTGCGGCGAGGCGGTCTCTGATTCTATCGCGATGGTAATGATGGTATTACGGACACGGTGGGCACGGAGGGCACGCGTGGCAGTGAGGAGGACGTGCGTGAATATATCAGATCCTGAACTTACCGTTATTTGAGTGCAAGCACCTGTGCCGCAGTAAGCTTCCCGTGCCAGTCTTCCCGCTATATGATAAGAGATCACCGCAGGTTTTACAGCAGGCGTACGGCTCTATTTTGTCGTCGAAGGAAACCAAGTTAAAAAACCTCCAAACGCAGCTCTTTGTGTTCCTTGGCTCAACCAATTTACACCGCTTGTCTCCCGACTTGAGGAGATTTCGAAGCTCAGACTTCTTTTCGACGTGCATATTCAATTCACTATAAAAACAAAACCTTAACGAAATTATAAAATCCACACAAACACAACCAAAGCACGCATGTCACGACATTCAGTCACGCACAAAACAGTGCTGCAAAGTGTTGTTGCTTTTGTTCGGTGCAAGGTGTACGAGAGACGGGGTGCCGTCAAACATTTGGTTTATTATGTTTGGCGTAAACATATTTTAATGGCGGTACAATAGTTGAGCAACGAGGCTCTGCCAATGTCAGGCTGAGCTTCCAAACATGTGCATCTCGCCACAGAAAGAGACGCAGCCATTCTCTGTTAGGTTAGTGTTTGTCTTCTGGCAGACCTGCAATGGAATTTTTTTTACTATAACAACACACTTCAATAGACACCAGTAAGATATAGGAAAATAATATAACCAATAACACGCACCAGACATGCCATTGTCAAATGGAGAGCTGCCGGCCCCTTACATTCGTTGCTGTTTGGATATTCATATGCCCTGTAGCATGTAGCATGTAAAAGCTAAACGAAATCTTACTCTTGAAGTAGTTTATGGCAATAAACTTAATACAAATCTGTGATTAGACTTATCGCCTGTTTTGAAAGTGTCGATAGTAGTGTGTATCGATAATGTTTAACAGACGAAATAGTGCGCGCTACATACTGTTATGCTCTGGCATTGTCCAGCACTGCCAGTTAGAGAAAATTTGTAAAGAAGCTGGTAGTTGTTCGCGATTTTATTAATTTAAAGCTAAATTATAGTATTAAACATAGTTATTTATGCAGTGAAAGTGAGCGCGAATCGTGTGAAATGCATATGAGTGTCATAGAGAATATAAATCAGTGCGGAATCAGGCAAAAATGTGCGTAGCCACACACACATACACAGCTTTTTCGGTCATCATTCGCCCCATACGCCGTGCCCTCCAATGAGAGCGAAGAGCATAACAGTAACAGTGCTCCGCACCAGTATTGGCAGCGTATCGCGCACGAAAGAGAGGCAAACAGCAAGACGAACAACAACAGCAAGCAAAAGAAAAATGTTTTCATTTATTCCTGTCGGCAGAGGCAGGAAAACCAGCAAATTGCAAAAAACTGCAAAAGCCACCGCGATAATTATACACTAACTAATCGAACCGCGTTGGCAGCGGGCCGAAAAGTGCGTCTGGGTGTCACCTATGCACCTAAATTGCAACAGCTGATGCAGCATCTTAAACCGTCGCAACTCCGACAACAGTCGACTGTAAGGTCTTACAGTCTGTTATGGGCCCCCACCGCTTCATTTTGCTGCACAGTGGAGCAAGGCAAACCCTGCCCCCTTGGGCCCGCGCACTGACGCCCACTGCCTAGTGCGCCCCACTGAATGATTCACATTTTTCTTTTGCTAGTTTTCCACCGTCTTCGGCTGCTTAAATAAATCGTTTGCTGCCCGCCTGCCTCTTGCTGCTGCCAATGCGTGTGCGCAATTAATCCTCATCTCAAATGCAGTTGCTAAAATGCCAATCAAATTATTCCGTTGTGTTTTTTGCTGTCTAGGCTGAAGTGAAAATTCCGAAAGAGAGGCGTCGTCCCACCAAAAGGAAAACACAACACAGCAGCGACGACAGCGTAATAGGAAAGTGTGGAAAATAACAAAAGGAAAAGCGCGTGGAGAGAGACGCAGAGTGTGTGTGAGAGAGGGAGAGAGAGAGCACAGTGAAGTGCCAAGTGCATCGGAGACTGGGCGTCGGACAGCCAGCCGGAGTGTCATCCGTTTTGCCCGCCGCGCAGAGAAAATTTCGTAGACTCGGGTTGTTGCACCGTCATCTCCCCTCATCTGCTGTAGCAGCAGCAGCTGCAGTCGTTGCCGCATCCAACAGCAGCAGCGTATAACCGTCAGCATGGATGCCGCCGAATCACAGGAAATACGACAGGTTAAACATATTTTTAGCCTTTACTCTAAGCCCCCGCCTAGCCAGGGCGTTTGGGCGACTGTGTGTGACTGCTTGACAGTGTCTCTCTGTGTGTGTGTGTGTGTGTGTGTATAGTTACTAATAAAAATATGCTCATACGCGAAGAAACACAAACTAAATATCGCGTCGCTCATTAACATTCCGACGTTGGCTGAGCGTAGCGGAGTGGAGTGGCGGTGGAGAGCAGGGTTTACTTCACTTCCCACCTACTCTCTTTGCCAAAATGGTGCGCTGAGTGAGGTAATGCGAGTCGCCGCCGTCTCCGTTGCCGCTCCCACTTGTCCGCTCGCTCCGTGAGGCGAGCGTTTTAATATGCGACCGACACCTACTTAACATTTGACTGGTTTTGATATCCGCCACTAATAAAGGAGAGGGTATATTGTATTCACAGTTTTGAAGATGTAATCCGCCAGAGAGTAAAATTTCATTCCGATCTGTAGTCAGAATTTCCGTTATTTGTATTGTTTTTCCGAGCTCTCCCGCCGCCTGTTGCATTCCAACTAGATAGATCATCATCCAGTTAGAATGTAGAGTATCCAATAGTCGGAAATGCTCTTATCGTAGAATCCCAATGCAAACAACAATTGCTGTTTTGGGACTGGACCAGGTTTTCGAGAATGGGGAGCTGTTTGAACTTCGGAATCAAACAAAAGAAACTTCCATTCATGCAAACTGCAACAACTGAAAATTGATTTTGAAGCCGGAAAATGGAACCTTTGTTATCGTTTTCCTCTCTTTGCCTCTCTTTCTCTGTTCGTCCGTGGTAGCTGCTGTTGCATGACCTAATCGCTAAATACAAAAAAAAAACGGCTTACGCATGCGAAAGGGAGAACGAGAGAGAGAGAGACGGGGACCGCTAGCCGAGGTTGGGGCACACTTGCGTGTGTGCTCACAATATTTTGGGGAGCTCCAAATAGAACCATTTTTCTTCTTTGTGGCCAACTCCCTGGGTAGAAAGTTGACGCAGATTATCGACTGGGCAAGCCACTGGCTGTTTGCCTCTGTTCTACAGTTCCACCAAGCAATTAACGCATTATAATCGCCTCAAAACTGAAGCCGAAACAACAGATCAAGTTTAAACCCAGTAAGACCCGAGACCGCTCTCTGTGCCGCTTGCTTTACTATTCGCTTCTCTCTCTGTTGTAGCTATCGGCTATGTGGAATGCCAAAAACAAATAGCAAATGCGAGATAATGAAATCATAAACCCCACCATTTCAATTTGTGACATTTAAAACAAAAAGAACGAAAAAATGCGACCAACAACTTTATTACAAACATATGGAAGATGGAGGATAGATACGTATGCTCCGAAAAATAAATGCAGACACATTGTACATATGTATATGTATATTCTGCCATCCCATTCCATCCCATCTCTCATGGATCATCCCAATGGTGTGGGCGTCTAAACCACCACCAGACATTTATTATAATTTTTCTTCGAATTTTTTACGCTGGCCTTTTTGAAATTTGAGTTTCAGCTACCATCCATCCATCCCCAGCCTCATCCCCATCCGCATCTTTTTACAATGGATCTGGAAAGTGCAGCCAGAGTTTTTCCGTTTCGTTGCCCATTCAAATTATGCTTTGGACAGTTTTTCGCGTCTGGGAGGGGGTAAGAGCGTGCACAGAGGGGCTCTTGCCTGCCAGGCAGACTAAACTGGTTTTCCCTCCACCTGTTGACCAATTCGCATAGCTGGACGGTCTACGACCTACGCCAATATATCGTGGCCTATCAAAATGCAATGTTCCAATGGAACCCCCTCCCCACCGCCATTTCATGGAATTTTTGTTATTTTGTAAAGAGCTTTTAATCCAGTCCAAGCAAACCAAACTATTGAGACAAAACATTTGCCGACTCTTAAATGGTCTGCAAAAGAATGCTTCGACGGCCAACTGCCAAGCAGAATGGTTTGCTGACACAGTTATTGATGACTTCATTCATGGCGAACTCTTTTCAGGGAGAACCCGTTTCAGATTTATGGAATGACAAAGATAAAATTGAATGTTTAAGGAGAACTGAAGGTAATACTCGTACATACAGTGGGATACAAAAGTGTAATATTTTATATTTAGGCTATTTGGCTATCGTTGGCAATCATTATAGGTCGTTATTTTATTTATTTGTTGCTAAACTCAATCAACAATCTCCTATTACCTGCAGAGGAACGATCGCTTTGTCGTCCGGACTTACTGTTTGGGCCTTACACTCAACGAAACGCACTGTACATATTTAGTTTTATCAATTCGTTATCTGTAACCAAGAATAATCTATGCTTGTTTTCTCCACTCTGTAGTTCTATATTTACACTGTCATAATTCCCGAGCCTCAAGTGAGGATTCCCTCCCTACTGCGATAAGGCGATAGGTTTCCCCTGCCGAAAAATTAAAAATAAAAAATTAAATCAAATTACACACGATTCTTATCAGTGCAAGACAAGCGGACATATGTCCCATACATATGTATTTACCCAGAGAGATAACACAAATTGAGACATTCTTTTACTTATGTATTTCCCTCGCATTCGAACAACTTGTTCGTTCGGTCTGAATCTGTGACAGTTTCCCTCTTGAGAACTCATTTTCGATTGCCTTCTGGCATCCCCGCCCAGTCCCAGTTTCAATTAGAGCCAGAAGAGGCGTCCGGCTGGCCGGCCGGCCAGTCCGCTCGGAATGGAGTTCTCCTTTGTGCAATAGCAAAAATTATGATTATGAGTGCAACCAGAAATGGAATGGCTGGTTTTGGCTGGCGAGAAGCACTGCAGCAGCACTTGAGATGGTTCTAAAAACGGAGCAGGGAAAAAGGCAGAAAAAAAAGAAAAGAAAAGAAAAGAGGAGAGAAGAGAAGAGAAGACCACGAGCAAGACTGGCTGGACAAGATGGGGCGTCTTTCATGCTGAGTGACCATCATCATCCATTCAGCCAAGCAAGCAGCAGCAACAGCAGCAGGCATTCCTTTCCCCAAAACAATAGGAACAAGGGGAATGAGGAGGCGGTCGACTGTCGGCGCACGCCAAGCCAAACGCGAGCGGGTTTATCGAACTCATATTGAAGATTGTACGCATGGCTTCACACAGACACAGATACAGATACTGTTGCAGCCGCAGCCGCAGCAACAGCAACAGGCAGAGCTATAGATACAAAAGGCACTTAAGAGTGCGCTAGTTAATTGCCAGGCAGAGCGGCGTCATTCCATACACAGAAGATGCAGTTATAATGCATTGATTACAGCGGCACAACTTGGCCTTGGCTTTGGGAACGGAGCCTGGGGCCCAGAGGTGCCCGCCCAGCCGGAGATTGGTGGGCGGGGAAACCTGACTGACGGAATGACTGACCAACTTTGTTCTCACATTATTTCACATAATATTTCATACACTTACTTACACACCGTTTGTTCCCCATCGTTGCAACAGGCTCGTCAACGTGCTTCCGTCAAGTGGCTGCTCTCGAAGGCCTTCAACAATCGCGTGCCGGACAACCTGAAGGAGCCCTTCTATCGCGACCATGAGAATCAGGAGCGCCTCAAGCCCCAGATCATTGTGGAGCTGGGCAACGCCACGCTCTACTGCCAGACGTTGTCCAATCTGTACTCAGATCCCAACTACCAAAGCTTGAATCACTGGTCAATAATACAGACGCTAGCGCGCAAAGGTGTGCCGGTTGCCGAGTCCTCGGACATGCCCATTACCGAAACGGTATTAATTCAAACGAATCCGTTGAGAATTGTGAGTACCGAAATACCCTGAACCCCCTGAAAGAACCTCCCATATCATGTCTAATGTCTAATGCCTCCCTCTTTCTCTTTTCCAGAACGCCCACATGTCTGTGATAGAATCGCTAATGGTTTTATATGCCAAGGAGATATCATCGGGTGACCGCATCATGTCGGCCATCAGAAGGTGAGCGCCAACATGAAACACTCACCTGGCTTCCGGCTCCTGACTAACGTTTTTGTGACTTTCAGAATATCGGGCAGCAATTACCAGACGCCTCAAGGCCAAACGTATGAGCAAGCTCTGCTGGCTTGGATTTCGCATGCCTGCGCCGCTCTGAAGAAGCGCATCATCAAGGAGGTGGAGACAGGGATGCCAGATGAGAATGTAAGTGGCCGCTCTTCTGCTTCTTCATTGAGGGGGACAGTGACTGGAATTTCGTTTTGCAGGGCTCGCGTCTGCAGACGCCGGACATACCGCCAGTGAGGGACTTTCAGGATCTGTGCGATGGCATCTGCCTGGCGCTGCTCATCGCCTACTACTGCCCCAAGGTGGTGCCCTGGACGAGTGTGCGCATCAACTATCTGCCCGCTGTCGAGGACTCCATACACAATATCCTGCTCGTGGGCAATTTCTCACAGAAGCATCTGCCATATGGCGTGTTCCACATGACGCCCGAGGATGTTACCTTCATGAGAGGGTACCGTACCTACCAACCATCTCTGCTAAGAATGGCAATCGATATTTAATCTAATATTTTGTGTCTTGCAGTTCGATGAAACTGAATCTGGTTCTGCTGCTCACGGACCTGTTCAATCTGTTCGAGATACATCCGGCCAAGTGTGTCTGCTATCCCGGCATGGATGGTCAGGGTAAGTGGAGAGGCCTTTATCGATTCTACCTATCCCAAAACGCTGCACCGCATCGCATCTACCCTGATCCCCCTTCCCCGTCCAAAGATTGGCCTGCCTTATGTATAATTCAGTATCAGTCCGGGGCATGCCTTCTTGTCTGTTCTTCTGACAGTACATATCCGTATATCCTTCGCTCTTCTTTGTTTGCCTTTTGTTTTGTCTTCGTTTATCTATGATTTGCCATAAGTTTTATATGCCCCCTGAATTTCGAAAGAGTTGAAGACAAGGAGGAAACACTTCACAGCTCGTAGCATTCCCACCACAAATGATTGAACCACAATCGAGTCCAAGCTGAAGATCCACCACAAGGTGTATTTATTCCACCTGTTAGGGGGAAGAGATCTATTTGAAAAACCAAACAAATTACAGCAAAAATTCTCTCTTTCTGCGGTTCCGCAATCACCATCCGCCGCAGCGGCAGCCGCACTGGAAATTCTAGAAACCACAAAAGTATCCACCCAGAAATTATCGCATCATAATACTCAATAATTCTCATCATTAACCATTTAGAAATCAATGCAAAAATCGTAGTGAAATATCAACGGCTGCCACTTGCCACTCAAAACCAAACAAAGTGGCAGCCGTGGATAAATGTACTTATGTATATCCCACACCCCAAAAATCGAACAGCATTAATGACAATCAAACAATCTTCTGTACTTGATTCTCTTTCTTTGTTTATGTGCAACAAAACAACAACAAAAACGCTTCCTCTCTTGCCACTTGTAAACCGCAATACAATCTACCGATAACTTGGGTCCTAACCACACACACACACACACATACTTACAACACACACACACATATGTACAACGTGCAACGTGCCACATGCAATGTATTTCTCGATCTCCACCCTTTCTGCTCCACCCGACGCCACTCCACCCACCGTAGATGTCATCGCCAGGCGCACCTTGGGCGCCAATGAGCACGGAATCTGCCACAGACGGGGCCTCACAATGCAGCCTGTTACGCCCATACCCGATCTCCGCAGCGATTTTGACCAGCCGCCCGTTGGCTCGCCCTCGAATCGGCCGCCATTTCAAGGTTTACTTCAAATTTTCAATCAAATCAACCTTTTTGCGAGCATTTTCTGTGTACTCCAAAATCCTTATATCCCCCCTCTGGTTTTTCATGAATGTCTTGTTTCCATTTGTTTGTTGTTTGTTTGTTTGCTTGTTCTGCTGCCCCACACATTCTGTTTGTTTGTTCGTTCGTTCGTTCGTTTGTTTGTTTGCTTCCATTGATCGTTTCTCGATGTTTTCCCCCGCCACCAGAAATTAATATAACTACATACCATTTAAATGTAGCATAAGATCTAAGGTGCACCTCATTGTCTTGCCACCATAAGCTGCACACTTCAACTGACGCATCATTAGTGTGTCTGTAATGAGAGCACAAAGTCATCTGAACAATCTGTAGAAGTCTTGATACATGTATAAGGCATATTTTATTCACTGTGCACTTGGACTGACAGAAACATCTTTCATACTGTAGACAAGAAATACGTAACACAGTTGAGCTGTAGAAATAAAAACAAATATGTAGTAAAGTTTTAATACTGGGGATATATTCTATTGATTAGGGACATCCCTGCTATCAAAACTCCCGCATAACGCGGCGCAGGCGAATTTTGCACAAGGAATCGCAAAAAAAAAAAAAAAACAGCATACATGTCATGTGCATGATGAAACATATTGATCGACTGAAGTTTCGCTGATAAGGGTATTTCTGTGGTTGTTGTTGTTGTTGGACTGCTCCCAAATTGATACATAATTACTGGACTGCCCCTGGTTGGGGTTCATTTGGGGGGAATATTCCCATATCATTCAAGGACTGAAATTCACACATGTGTATGCTTTTGCTCGCTTTTTAACGCAACCCCCAATGGGAAATATGCAGGTTCATTTACCTGTTGTTTTCATTGTTCAACTGGAAAGCTGAACAAATTATTTATTTGTTTATTTATTTATTTCTTCTTTTTTTGTATACATTTTTGTTGGTGTTTTTTTTAGTTCCGCACTCGAATTCATTCAGCGGCGGCTTAAATCGTAGATCCACCCCGCCAAACGAATACCAACAGCAACAGCAACAGACGGTTGTTCAAACAAATTCGAATCATTTCGATGGTAATCAAGGCGAAGGTAATTTATTTATTATTATTTATATTTCTATTTCCTTTTTCGTTTAAAATGCACTACAGAAAAATACAGAAAGATTTGCCTCAATCTCTCTCTGTTTCCACCATTTATATTTGTTTGAAATTCTAATTTAAATTTTTAATTTTTTTCTTTTTCTATCCCCGTCCCTTCAAAACCGAAACCCACACATGCTCACTGCCACCGCCTGCCTGCCCCGCTCCTCATCTCGAATGTGCAATTGTGCAGCCTTCGTCGTGCACAAGTCGCGTGGCATCACCACACTCTCATCCATGCACTCGCAGCAGCAGCAGCAGCAGCAACAGCAGCAACACCACCACCATCAGCAACAGATCCACCAGCAGCAACAGTCGCAGCTACAGCTTCAGCTTCAGCAGCAACAGCAGCAGCAGGAGCCCTTGGTTCCGGCTCGCTTGCGTCAGGCTAAAGAAAAGACAAATGTCGAGTCCAAGGCGGATGAGAGAGGTTTGCTTGCCCGCTTCAGTTCACTTCAGTTTTTTTTTTATTTTTTTTTTTTTACGAGTCTTGTATGTGGCCACTAAACTAATGATTAACTTTTATGAGAGATTTAATCTGGCTTGAAATCTGGCCACGCTTGCCAAAGCTCAAGAAATTCAACGATTTGCAGGCCTTAATTCCTTGATTCCCACTCTCTCTCTCTCTCTTTAGGGCCACATACAAGCCTCACCTACGCTTTATTTCACTTAAGTTTATTGACTAACGTTGATTAATTTGCGTTTATTTTACACATTTTGATTTAATTTGGAATTTATATTTGTTTAATTTGTGCTCTCAAGGCGATTTTGTCGCTGCGGGTCGACCAAGTAACTGGGAACAGAGCCGCCGGCCAAGCTTTGCAGGTATGAGCAACAACAAAACATTAGCCACTGTCGATAGTCGTAGTAGTGCTTCTTCATAGTTCAGTTGAATGTCATTTAGTTTGTGTTCATCCATTATCCTTACGTTGCCCTTCTACTCTGTCCCCCTCCTACACCCATCAGCGTTGGGAGCGAACTTCTAGAAGCAAACTAATCCTCTGCTGAATGCCAATTTCAGGGCGTCGCTCGCGCAGGAACTCCTCCAGCGAGGACTCCCAGCTGACCATCGAGAATTTTGGCGGCTCCCAGGATCAGATAAACACACTCGGGGGGCGATTCGATCGCGAACGAGATCGAGACAGGGAGAGGGAGCGGAAGTTGTCCAACACCAGCATAGGTGGGTGCAATTAAGAAGTGTTGCTCCAAGCACACCAATAACTGAACGATCGATTGATTCCCTTTCAGCTGAACCCGCTGTGGCTGTGCGCTCCTCCATTGCCGATGCCCGGGGCACGCTGCAGCTTGGCTACGACACGGATTCGGGCTCGGAGAAGCAGGACCGCGAGACGGAGAAGTATTCAATGCGTCGGCAGGCGAGGTGGGCTACCATTATAAATAATTATTTATTTATATACTTATGCAACTCTCTCTCTCTCTATATTCTCTTAGTAGTGTCGACAATGTGCCCACGGTGTCGGCTCACAATCTATCGAATGCGAGCAGCCCCTTGCCGCAGGCACGGAACAAGCAACATTCCAGCGACAAAGACTACAGCAACAGCGTGGCGGACAGCTACAACGATGCCCGCTCCAGTGCCTACGATCCGGAGAGCACACCAGTGCGTAAATCCTCCACCAGCAGCATGCCAGCGAGCCCAGCAGCCTGGCAGCTGGATGTGGGCGATGAGGATATGCGCTCGCTGGAGAACGCCTCCAAGCTGTCCACCATACGCATGAAGCTGGAGGAGAAGCGGCGACGCATTGAGCAGGACAAGCGGAAGATCGAAATGGCACTGCTCAGGCACCAGGAGAAGGTAGGCCCCGACTCGAATGTCGTCTATGGGGGCTGCTGCTTAATGCTTAATGCTTTAATGTAAATATATTTGTATTATGACCAGGAGGATCTGGAGTCATGTCCAGAAGTAATGAAGTGGGAGACAATGAGCAATGAGTCGAAGCGAACACCGGACATGGATCCCGTTGACTTGGACAAGTACCAGGTGGGTGAGGTAATCATTAACTGTGGCCATAACCATTCCCCTTGCCCCCCTCAACCGTCCTCTAACTCGTGCTACCCCGTGCAATCAAAATATTAATGTCTAACGCCTGTGTGTCTCTCTTTTCCGCCACTTTCTGCCATTCTCTTTGTCTGTGTCTGTGTGCCTGCTTCAACATTCCAAAATACTCACACACACACACACACACACACACAACAAACACTGAAACACTCACACGACCACACCCACAACGTCCACAACGCCCACCACTAACCCGCACCCACTGAACCACACCGAACAATTAACAAAACGGCCGCGGAATGGATGTGGAACGTGCAGCAAAGCATCGCCATCATGAACATGAATCTGCAGGATATCCAGCAGGATATCCACCGCCTGGCCACGCAGCAGAGCCAAATGCAGGCCCAGCATCTGCAGGCGCAGCAGCTCCTGCAGGCCCAGCAGATAGCCAACATGCTGAACCAGGTAAAGCATCCATCCATACAATTCGTCCATGCCCCGCTCCAGCCACACACAACCCACATCCGCCTCCCGTCGTAGCATCGCCCATTAGCTAGGAGGAGGCTGTAACCTGCCCCGGTAACATCCCTCTGCTGCCTGTCGACTAACACATTTTGTTCTCTGTTCTCGTTCCGGTTACGCTGCCATCCTACCATCCTGCCACCCCACTAACTGCATCATCCTGCAGCAGCAAACCTACGGGTCGCAGCAGCACCTGGCTGACCACCACTACCAGCAGCAGCAGCGACCCATGCAGCAAAGCTTTGGCTCATCGCCGCATCTTCCGCAGGCCTACAATGCCCCAGTCAGTGCGTACAGCTCCCGTCCGCCCAGCCGCGATCCCTACCAGCAGCAGCAGCAGCTGCCACAGCCCATGGCCATGCCCCAGCCGATGCAGTTCGTCAACGAGCATGGCCAGTACATGTCGCCGCCGCAGCCCTCCCACTACCAGCCGCAGAGCATCTACAGCGACAACGGAGCGCCCTACAACAACCACTCGCCGCACTACGGAGCGGCTGCCCCTCCGCAGTACAGGAGCAGTGTGGTCTTCGATGACTATGGCCAGCCCACGAACCATTTCTACCTGCACGAGTCCTCGCCACAGCCGCAGGTCCATCCCCAGCGACGCACTTGGGCGCACTCGGCAGCCGCCGCCGCCTACGAGCAGCAGCAGCAGATACAGCCCATGGTGGATGTGAATGCGTGGCAGACGCAGCAGCACCAGCAGCAGCAGCAGCAGAAGAAGCCCCAGCAGACCTGGATGAACAGGCCTCCCTCCAGCGCGGGAGCAGCGGCCCAGGGCAGTTTTATGCTGCACCAGAACGGTGGAGGCGGTGCTGGAGGCAGTGGCGGCGGCGGAGGCGAGCTCCAGCATTTGTTCCAGGTGCAGGCCTCGCCGCAGCACTCGCAGCGCCAGTTGGGTGGGGGTGCCAACGGGGTGCAGAGGCAGCAGTCGCTGACCAATCTGCGCGACAATCGCTCGCCCAAGTCTCAGCACCAGCCGCAGACAATGGGCATGGCCATGCCGATGCCCATGCAGCAGGAGGACATGATGGCACCGCAGAGCATCTGCTTCATTGGCGACGAGGAGGATGTGGACGAGCTGGAGCGCAACATCATCGAGTCCATGCAGTCGACGCGCATCTCGGACTTTGTGCTTCAGCAGCAGCAGCAGCAGCAACATCACCACCAGCAGCAGCAGCAACAGCAGCAGCGTCTGCAGGGGCACGGACACAGTGGAAGGGGCAGCAGTTCGGAGGACTACGACAGCGGGGAGATGATTTCCAACAAGTTGAACATAACCAGCGGCAATCTCACCTACCGCATACCCTCGCCCTCGCGCCCCTCCATCCAGGCGAACAGTTTCCAGGACCCGCGCGACAGCGAGGATCAGCCCGCAGAGAAGGGCTTCTACATCTCCTTCGACGACGACCAGCCCAAGCGGCCAAAGCCGCCGTTGCGCGCCAAGCGCTCGCCCAAGAAGGAGGCCCTGCCGTTGGGCAGCAGCGGCACCAGCAGTCGGGACAGGGACAGCGTGGACCACCAGACTCTGCTCAAACGGGAGTCCCTAAGTCAACTGCACAACAACAACAACATCAACAACAATGGCAGCGAGGATGGCCACAAGTCAGCAGGGGCCAACAGACACAGCATCCACGGCCTGAACCACTCAAACAGTGTCAAATCGCCCGGCAATGCCACCTACAACAAGTACACGGACGAGGCGCCCATCCAACTACGCCATCTGGGCGTATCTGGTTCGGATCCATTTGGCCACGATCCACAGCCACACCCACAGCCACACCCAATGCAGCAGCAGCAGCCCATGTCTCCCACGCGACTCCAGCAAACCAACAGCAGTGCCGAGGCGGCCAAGAACAAGGCGCTGGTGATTGGAGTCGATGCCACCAACCTAGATCCGGTAAGAATACGCTACACTATTTGTATAAGTGGTGCCTAATAATCTGTTCCATTGCAGGAGTCTGTGGATGAAATGGAGCGACGAAAGGAGAAGATCATGCTGCTGTCTCTGCAGCGGCGACAGCAGCAGGAGGAGGCAAAGGCGCGCAAGGAGATCGAGGCCTCGCAGAAGCGGGAAAAGGAGCGCGAGAAGGAGGAGGAGCGCGCACGCAAGAAGGAGGATCAAATGGCGCGACGAGCGGCCATATTGGAACAGCACAGACTCAAGAAAGCCATCGAAGAGGCCGAACGAGAGGTAAGCCGGCATACAGAATATACAACATATAAAGTCCAACAATTCATTGCTCATGTATCGTTTGTTCTTTTGTATAGGGTAAAACCCTGGATCGGCCCGATCTGCATGTTAAACTGCAACCACAGTCATCTACTGCAACGAATCCGCGACTCCGGCAGCAGCGCACCACACGTCCCAGGCCCAAGACCATCCACGTGGACGATGCCAGTGTGGACATCAGCGAGGCTTCGAGCATCTCTAGTCGGGGCAAGAAGGGCTCCAGCTCGAATCTAACTGGTGAGAGGAAAGCTGCTGAAACAGAAATGGAAGCAGAACTTGCACTTGTTCTGGCTGGCCAACTGTCAACCAAGTCAAAGATCCCTCAAGTTCTGTGCCAAAGGACCAAGTTCTTTGGCTGGTGTTCGGCTTGCCGAACCCTCCCTTCCGCCTCCAAATCACACGATTTATTTTCTATTGATTTATTTGCGTAAAGCGCCTTATTTAGCCGTGATTATGTTAATATCCTTGTTTGCCCCATTTGCTAATTTGTTGAACCTTTTGTTTTTCGTTTTCGTTTTGAATTTGCTTAGGCTACGGTCAACTAAGCTCAAATTCAATGAAAAGAGATTATTACAGGGGCTCGCAAGACTCCCTCACAGTAAAAGGTAATTTTGCTTGTTATTTGTTTGTATTCTTCTTTGTCGCATTGTATACAATCATTTGTCATTGTTTATCTCTTAAGTTAATGTAGGCATGTTTAAGGTGTTTAAGTTGATTTATATTTAATGGTAGAAGGGCATTCCGTTCTGGTCTTTGATGATTTGATGACGATTTGATTTGCACGCACTCCAATTTAGAATTAACTATGATATGTATCTTGGACAATCTTGATAATGTATTTGATAAGGTATAACCACTAATCTCGTTCACACAGAGTCCCCCGATGATTATCCCAGTACAAGTTCAACTCCGATTGGGCGACGGGGATCCTATAAAACTTCCAGAGGTTGGTGATGGGTACAACATACACACAAACAAACAAACACACACCCAATTATTGAGCTCTTTTTCGTTTCGTTTAATTGTTAATCTTTTGAGTTTCCCCAAAAATCGCATTCAAACACGCAAAATAATAGCAACGATCAATGAATGCCCGCCGCGTTGCTTCTGTTTTGATTACTTCAATTTTAATTTAATTACTTTTACTGATTTATCGCTAAGGAGTCACACTCCACCGCCAGCTTATATTTGAGTAACGTAACTGCATCCACAAACTCAACTAACTAACTATCCAATGCAATGCCAACTAATGCCAGGATACCGAACCGATACCGCGCCGCACACTTAGCAAATAATGATTGCACACGGGGCGCTGAGTGTGGACCGAGGAAGCGGGTTTTAGCATTACAATTTACACTTCAACTTGGTTGGGGCTGCTGATATTTATTGTGTATGGTTTTTGGTTTTTGGGTGGGTCGAAGGGATTTAAGTTTGATTTACGATATTTTTGTTTGTACCCCATTTTGTGATATGACATCCCATCCATTGCGTACATATATTTTTGTTGAAACCGTATAATGATGCACCACTCGGCATATCCCTGTCCGACCTGACCTACTTGCAGAGCCATCAGCCGTCGAGCGGGGCCGCACTCTGTCGCGTATCTCCGTCGCTAAGGGGAGCACACTTAATTTCCGGGGCCGAAAGTCCAATTCGCTAATGAATCTGTGCGGTAAGAAGTGTTCCACAGCTACAGCTCAAATCAAGCTGCTTTCTTTCCACCTTATATACTCTATACTCTGTACTCTACTCTACTCTATCCCCCATTACGTATCTGTATCTATCTATCTATCTATCTATCTGTATGCTTCTTATTCTCTATTCACTTTGAGTATTTTTCTAGTGGTTTCATTTTTGGTTAAACCTTGTAATTGTGTTCTTGTACTTTGATCATTTCTTTGGTGGTGAGATTTTTGCATACTTACATAAGTAGTCCTGTCCTTAATCATTTTCCTTTTGGTATTTATTTTTAATATATCATTTGTGATATTTTTAAAGTCATCTTTTCTTTTGGGTTAATTGGTTTTAATTCTTACCTGATTTGATTACATTTCTGCTTCCGTTTTGCATAGTTTTTCCACTGCGAAAATTCGGTTTCTATTGATGCGGTGCTTGGTGGTGTTGGTGGTGGTTGTCTGGTCCCTCTTCAAGCTTTTCCCTTGTGTTCTTCAGCTGTTTTTTCGGGTAGAGGGTTGATTCGCAACAGGTTCTGGGCATACAATTTCAATCCATTTTTTGCGATTGGCTGTGAGAAAAAGTGAGATACATGCATACAAATGTACATATTTTGTGAACTAACTTCCACATTCATGCACATACAGATACGCCTGCACATACACACACGCATTTGCATACACTCCACTCATCTATAGACCTGTTCGATTCCTAATTTTAAGTATCTCTAAATGAAGGATCCACGAAATGGCTTAACTAAATTTTGTGCACACATTCTCTTCTTTTATTTCTCTTTCTTTCAAATCAACCTTGACTAAAAAAAAACAAACCAAATCTTGAAATTAACAACAACAAAAAAATGCAACAAATTATTAACCAACTCAAAACGAAATCATCGCTCGATCGCTCGCTCGCCCGCCACCCATCGCCGTGCTCCTGACTGGTGACTAACAACCAAATGCATCCCATCCATCGAATGGCTACCATCTGCATGGAATTGATGGCCCGGCACGCCGCACGCCTATGGTGCTCTCTGATCTGTGTACTGTGCTGCATGTGGCCGATCCGCTGATTGACTCTCTCTCCTCTTGCTTGACGGTTAGACACAGATTCGGGACTGGGACGCGCCACACCGCCGAGGCGCGCACCCTCGCCTGGAATGGGCGCTTCAGGTAGGCATATGCCATCCCCCTCTGGACCGGGCTCTTTGCCGCCAGGTTTGATATCGAAACGTCGCGGATTTGATGATGGATCCAGCGATTTCTCTTTAACTCCGAATTTTAACATGGAATATTCGGGTTTGTATTTCTCGTCTACAACAAACTACAACAACAACAACAACAAGAAAAACCATATCATACAAAAAACAACTTCAAAAGAATCCTCAGTTATGCATATAATCAAATCACATCCACCAAATCCATACACCTTTTGGTCATCTCTCCACATACCAAACGCCTCATACTATATGATATGATTTTCATTTGATCATTTTTCGTTTGATTTCGTTCATTACCATTCGTTTACCATTCAATTGGCGTCCGTATGCATCTTGTGTCCACTCCACCATATGATTTTTTCTCAACATTTCACATATGAGTTCCACATAGATAAACGAGTTCTAGAGGGCTGACGACAGTCTGTAGAGTCCAATACTTGGTTTTTCCTCTCCCATGTTCCGTCAAATCCACGACTTTCGATAACCAAACGAGAGCCGACAAATGTTTTCCCCTCAGTGACAACAATAAATGTAGAGAAGCACAACACCCAAAAAGCTTTCTAATACCGAACCCCAGATGGGACCGATTAACCGCTTCACAATTAAAACAAAACAAAAACAAAAAATATTTAAGCAATCCTGCAAGCAGTTTTATTATTGTTTTTTTTTTTCTAATATGTACACGTTTATTATTATTATTATTTGTTCGTATTAATTGTTGGAATTATTTGCATAAGATACTAAATTAGGCAACATTCAACATCCCCCCATCAATATAACTGCAGGTTATTTCTTTTAATATATATTTTTAATCTATTTTATAATTTTGCATTCAAGTTTAACTATTCCCAAGTATCCATCGTAGCTTTGCTCTTAACTTTAGAGCCCAAGTTTAAGCTCACATATTGCACGTAGCCTGCATATCGATGATTAGATGATTAGAAAAATTTAAGATATAGAAAAAGCTTGCCATTGACACCTCCAAGTAGTAGAGTGATAATCCATGACAATCATGATTTGACTTGCCCCTCCGCTAACTTGAGGCGATTTGCATTGACAGGTCCAAAACTCTACAAGCAACCAGCGGCCAAATCGAATCGCGGCATTATACTGAATGCCGTCGAATACTGCGTCTTTCCGGGCGCCGTCAACCGTGAGGCCAAACAGAAAGTGCTCGAGAAGATAGCACGCTCGGAGGCGAAACACTTCCTAGTACTCTTCCGCGATGCGGGCTGCCAGTTCCGCGCCCTCTACAGCTACATGCCCGAGTCGGATCAGGTGACAAAGCTGTACGGCACCGGACCTAGTCAAGTCGACGAAGTCATGTTCGATAAGTTCTTCAAGTGAGTAACTGCGCATCCATCACTCTGTGGCCTCGACTAACTCGATAATCCTTTTGCAGATACAACTCAGGGGGCAAGTGCTTCTCGCAAGTGCACACCAAGCATCTGACCGTCACCATTGACGCCTTCACAATACACAACTCGCTGTGGCAGGGCAAGCGGGTGCAGTTGCCCAGCAAAAAGGACATGGCGCTTGTGATCTAAGTGCAACGGAGCAGAGCAGAGCGGGGCGGAGCAGAGCGGGGCGGAGCGGAGTCCGTGCCAGTGGGCGCTTGGCGCTGTTTGGCCGGAACAAAACTACTCTACGACATTGCGCATTAAGACATCTATGGAAACCTAACGAACTATAACTCGAACCATGTGAGGTCTTTTTATGGCTCACGAGAGGTGGATTTATGGCGTGGGTTATGGCATAGAGGGGGGTGGGACACTCGGTTTAAACCACTAATAGCACACGCTTGAGGATCAAGAAATTGGAATTTACAGAAAATTTTGTAGTGTGTAAACGATGTGCGATTGAATACTTATTTTCAATGTAAAAGCATATACCTACATATATCCGCCTAAGAATTTAAGCAGCAGAAATAGCAGCAAGCAAGCAGCCAAGCAGAATCGTGTAAAATGTAAAACGCTGAACAAAAATGGAATGGAAAGGAATGGGCAGAAAGCAGACAACACCACAAGCCAAAAGAATGTTATGAAGCCCTTTGGATAATTGTATTTTTGTTAGTTTTCGTGCCGGATATTCGTGCAGCACGTCTGTCAGAGGGGAAGAACAAATGTAGAAAATCACTTTTTATTAATTTGTTTTATTATTTTATATTGTTATGAAGTTAATCATGTGAAATTTTTCTTGGCCTTGGGCAGGCGGAAACTGAATTGTGTAAAATGAGGCCGCAGCCAAAGTCGACTCTAATTTTAATGCCACTAGCTATTTATTTTAACACTAATTAATAATTACTTTTTATGCGTATTTAAAAAGGAATAATAATACAACTAATATTTAAAGATATCTACAATCTGTACAATATGATAGACTTTTGATTGCTACAGACGGAAAGCGAATTTTCCCCTCAGATTTCCCCGCAAAGTCAGCAGTCAGTCCCCGACTCTAAAGTTTCGCATAAGTTGCCCATGCAATGCATTTGAAGAGCTCTTAAGTTAGTCGATCTGCACATGCATTTTCCTCTTTAATTTTGGGGCTAGTTACCTCTGGCCTTCTCGACTGCGGCACCAGCCAGGGAATTGACTTCGGCAACTGCCATCGACTCTACTTACTTGATTTTAACTCTGTGAAATCGCATCCGATGAGCACCTTTTAGACCGCTCAACCGTTGGTGGCACCCGCCTACACATTCACCATCACCCTAGTCTTTAACCCCAACACACACTCACCCTGTTTTACAAATGCACCGATCCACCGATCGATGATTGTCAACGCAAGCCCCCGTATTATAGTTTATGCAGGCAGTCACTCTGCTGGAAACTCTTGATTTTAAATGATATTAATATTTCGAAGCCAGGCACCTTTTTTGTAACTGAAAACTATTAAGAGGCGTTCGAACCTAATAGATGGGGGCGAATAACCAACTCAACCTTGAACCGCCATTACGGGAACGATTCTGATTCTGTCCGCATGAGGCGAGTGTATATGAATGCATGGGTGGGTAGGCGCGCAGTAACGCCCTCGGCGTGATTGGGCTCCATATTAATGAATAATATTAATGAGATCTAAACATTATTATATGAAATGTAATAAAGTTATTGAAAATGATTATTTAACAAATTGCCATTGGTGTGCTTCATTGTCTGTCGGTTTATAATTCTATTATTTATTAAAAAATATCCATCTTAAAGGTAAATCTTAGTGCACTTTTACATTTGGAAATCATCCCGCATATCGTTGTAGCGCAGCACGTGCTCTTTAATCTTGGAGCCGTCCACCCATGTTACAAAATCTTCCAAATTTTTGGAGACAAGGAAGGCAGGATCCTTGACCATTTCGGGGCCCACACGAACATGACCGTGCTCGATGAGGTCTGTGGCGTTTTTCAGGTTCTCCGACATTCGCACTGCAATCACAGAAAATGTTTATGAAAGAAAATACATGGTTTCTAATGGGAAAGCACTTACGCTTTACCATGATGACGGGCAGCCGGCGACGGCAAAAGTGACTGGCCGACGTCTTGGCCGCTGTCTCCAGGGTTAATTCATCGTTGGATACGCCCATGGCATGCAGCTTGTTCAACAGCATCGTAGTTGACTCGATCTTAAAAGGATGTGCGGCATCTAGCTTGGCTATTTTCTCGGCCAGCTCCCGAATTTCCCTGGATAGTTTATTGTACCTGCAAATGGACACAGAATTGATTGAATCCAGTGTCGAAGCAGAGGCAGTCATGGAAACTCACTTTGTATAGTCCTCGCGCTTTTGTATGTGATAGCGTCGCAGGATCTTGTTCTCCTTGCCGCTATTGTCCACCTTCCAGGTAATAAAGTCCACCTTCTTGAGCAGTTTCTGCTCATGGAATTTGAGTTTACGCACCATTTCGTTTGTTTTTTTTTCTCTTCTATTTATTCAATGGCCGAACATGTGCGATGGATTAGTGTTGGGAAGCGGTCGCAGCGTTTGTTTGTCACAGCTGTTTTGAGCGCCGAAAAGCAGTGCTGTAAAGGAGAGTAGAATGCAAAACACAAAACAAATCAAACTAAAGTAAATAGGAAAAAAGGCTAAATACAAGGACTTAAAGATAGCTGCGCTCATTATGACATCCTCAATGGATGAGGACACAACTATTAATCCACCCACAACCAGCGATGAGGACCCGCTGGCCGAGGAGAGACTTGGACTTGTGCGGGAGGTTGGCGCCCAAGCTGTATGGAGTCTGTCTTCCTGTAAGCCGGGTAAGTGCTTTTCCGTTCATGTTGTGCTGCACCCACTGTAATGTCTGCTATTTAGGATTCGGCGTGGAGCGGTTGCGAGACAACATCATGGACACCTATTGGCAGTCCGATGGACAATTGCCGCACCTGGTCAACATACAATTCCATAAGCGGACAAACATCAGCCAGATCTACATCTACACCGATTACAAGCTGGACGAGAGCTACACACCCTCGCGCATCTCCATACGATCGGGCACTAACTTCAACGATCTGCAGGAGTTGCAAGTGATGGATCTTTCAGAGCCCACCGGCTGGGTGCAAGTGCCCATCAAGGACGGCAATGTGAAGTCCATACGCACATTCATGCTGCAAATCGCAGTCATTTCGAATCATCAAAACGGCCGGGACACCCACATGCGTCAGATTCGCATACATGCCCCCGTCGAGGGCAAACACTATCCCCTGGAGCTGTTCGGTAAGTTCGGAACTGTGGATTTCCAGAAGTTTGCCACCATTCGTTGAGGGAGAACCAATCCAATCATGACGAGTTAGAGGTTTTATAATTATGTATTTTTGTGTATTTTACTGCTAAAATGCAACTTTTAAAAGGTTACTTTAGTACTTTTGTATGCATATTTTTGGTGTTTCTAATTAAATGCCCATCACTGTATACATAAATCAATTGCAATTTAAATATACCATCGTTTAAGCTTAAGTACAGACACATTAACCACTACTATTGCTGTGTTAAAGTATTATTGTTACGGTTTCTGTTGATGCGCTGCAAATGCTGACGTGAATTGACGTGCACATGGAAATGCCAACAAAAAGATGTGCGAGGCAATTGCATTGTCGTCGGGTATCTGTCTTTGCCCCGCGGATTGTCGTTAATGCTTTAGGTGTTCGATTTCTTTGTAGATTTCAGCGTTTTGTAATGATCCTTCTCGTCGGCGTTGTCTGGCGGCTCGCACTCGTAGGAGGCCCTCATCAGCAGATTCTCCGAGAGGGCTTCCGCCTTCTGCAAATAGGCCACCACACTTGGCACCTGCTCGTAGGGACAGTCCAGCCGCTGCCACTTGGAAAAGTTGCTCAATTGGGTGCCAAAGAGTCTGCACTTCTCAAAGTTAATGTGTCCGTCGGCCAGTCTGCATTCAAAAAGGAAATGTATTAATTCTTTTCAGTAGTCACCAGCAGTAGTCTTCCAATTCTCACTTTGTTTCGTGGCTTTCGTTTATGGCATGGAGGTCCTTGAGGAACAGCGAGAAGAACGGTATGATGGCACGCTCAATTTTGTTGGCCATCTCACGCTCCGAGCGCCAGACGGCTGCCTTCATGGTCGATCGGTAATTGAGGAAGTTCGAGCTGGGATCCATTTGATGTTCCAGTCCCTCGAATTTTGTCGTCTGCACTTTGGCCCACTAAAAGATTGATTTTGCATTATTTTTTAGTCAGAGAGTCAGTCCTATATAAAAAGAAACCTACAGTTTTCTTGAGACGAGCTATGGCAGCCAAGTTGAGGGCCGTTAGAATGGCCATCAGGCTGTTGAAGTTGCCCGTGTTGAAGCATTCCAGGGCGGTCTCAACCCAGAAGTCAATCATTTGGGCACGATGGGACTTCTTGCCAATCTGTTGGATACAATGATAATTGAATTTGGTTTACAGTTGATTGCATGATGTCACCTTAGGGCTCACCTTCAGTATTTCCGTGGCAGTTAGATAGCTCAACTGATTAAACCACTGCACGTAGCTGCCGATGGTTACGCGGCTGATGCAATTGGAGCCCAAGGTGCCTGCCTTGGTCTGCGCAATACACGACTTAAGTTCGCCCTGGGCAAGCATTTCCACAAATTCTTCCAGACGTATTTGCGACACATAGGCATATTCGATGGCATACAGTTGGTGGGACAATTCGAAGGGATTGCTGCAATTGTTGAGCACATTGTCCGTCTTGTAGACGTTGGCGGCGAAGCGTTTCAATGACTTAATACTGCTTTGTCGTCCCAGAGAACTGCCCGAAGATTGTTTGGCCAGCAGATACTGCAGTTGTGTGCGTCCCCTCGACTCACGCTGGTCCTGTGCCTCAGAAATATCGTCTAGAAAGGCAGCAAAGGCCACGTCTTTTCGCTGCTTGTCCAACTCCTGCAGCAGCGCCTCGTTGCGAAAGTCGTTGGGACAAATGTTTAGCCACTGCTTCAGCAGCCGGAGCAGCGTATCTGGTTTGGCTTTGCACTTTTCGACGATGCGTGAAAGCAGCTCTTGCGGAGGCAGGAACAGGCGGCCACAAACCAGAAATGTGAACTCAATTTCTTTGTTCTGGCTGCTGGTCAGCAGGCTGACCAGCGAGTCCAGGCGGCCGGTCTTGGGCATGTCTTTGGCGTAAGCTGGCGGAGTTTGGCAATCATCGGCTACTACGTCGCATGGCTCTGTGATTTGCAGCTGGGTGTTCTGCAAGGCAACGGATTAGAAAAGCAATAACGGATATGGGTTCGGGTCTAGTCTTACGAGTATGGAGACTGCATCTGCCTCATCTGCCGAGCTGGGAATGTCGCAGTACATGGAGTCTGTCAGAGTGTCGCGGGGAAGCGACCAGGGCGTATTCATGGAGACGCTGTGAAAGAGGCCGTCATGGCCAGAGTCGCCGCTGCTTATATTCGAGCTCTTGTCGCCAACTGTGGTGGATGAAACGGAGCCAATCACCTGATCCGAGCCGGTAATGGCCGAGCTGGATGACATAAGCGATGCATTCGAGAAGGTTTCATTCAGCTGACGACCCAGAGGGTTGACCGGACGTTCGTCCGAGTCGGTGGCCTGCGAGGCCAGCGTGGAATTCGAATTCATTCCATATTTGAGTGCGTTCTCGGGAGTGGCCCGGGCCAGCGCCGAGTGCTGTTTAACGGGCTGCCAGATTTCCTTTTGATGCGACTGATGATTGAAGTGCTCCTTGGTCTCCACGGTGCGTTCATCCAGGATCTGGCCGTTGCGAGAGACCAGCACCTCCTCGGTGGTCGTTAGGGAAGACTTGACTGTCAGAGACGTTTCCACCTCGATGGGCTGCTGAGCCAGGCCAGCGCGGAATAGCAGCTGATTCAGATGCTCCACCGACGGCATCTGGCCATCGAGCAGCGCGGCCTTGATGGCCCTCGCATCGTCTGCCGGGATGCCATCCAACTTGACGGGCACACCGTTGATCAGCAGCACCTCCTCCTGCTGCACGGAGGACGAGGTCTGGCAGTCCACAATCTTCACGTCCTTACCGAAAAGAGATTCTACAGCATTCATAATGTCTTCGTCCATAGTGGTGGTTAGTCGTTAGTCGGGTAGGAGGGTACAGACAATTAGGAGGTTGACTTTGGCTGTGCGCGTGAGTTGTTTGGTTGGTTGGAAAAATGCGAAATGACCCTGTCTGCGGGGGGCTCTTTGGATTAAACTCTATGCACATGCACTACCGAGTACATTTCTGGAAGAAGGAAGGCCAAGACATTAGGATACACATTGGGATACAACAAACCACATGAGACACGGTCGGACGGATTTGCGAACGGGTGACAACGCCCACTTTCTCAAAAGTGGGCTGGCGCTGGTCCCGCTGTCCAAAAAAACAGAATTCTGCCTCAGACACACACACACCTGCAGGAAAAATGCTGCTCGTTGGCCTTCCATTTGACGCACAGTCATGGCGTCAGACATTCTCATGGCAGTACCCTTGATTTGCGCATGAATTCTCCTCTGTCACTCTTAATATCGTTAAATTTTCGCCAATTGATTAATTTTTATTATTGTTGTCAAAGTAGGAATCAGTGTGACCGCGGATTAATCGACAAAATATACCGTCTGACCCTGAAAAAATGCTCATATTTTTCATAAAATACCGTAAATATACTGAAGGCGCGACAAGCTGCGTTGATACTCCTTCATTTTGATATTCGGTTTAATATTACTAGCTAGTTAGGACTTTAAAAACTGAAAATATCCTTTTATCAGATAGATGAAACAATTTTATACAATCTGGCTGCAAAGTATGAGATTGGCGGTAACATTATTTTACTGCCGCAAGTGCGCCATCTGTTGCTAGTTACATCAACTAAACTTTTTCGATAACAATTGTAATTAATTGTACAGAAACGTTAAAATCGCATTCAAATCGTAAAAAAAACATCTGCAAAGAATGCCACAGGGGGGTTCCATTTCAATTAAAGTACCCAGCTGATAGAGTTATAAGTAAGGGAAGTTCCTAATTTTTTTTTTTTATTATTATTTAATAATCTGTTTACAAGCTGTGACTAATTTTAGAATAACTAAACTACGGGGTAGGTGCACTCGAGGGCAATGCCGCAGAAGTTATTGCCGCGTGGCAAGCGGAAGTAGCCCTCCTCGCCCCAGACCTTGTCCCACGAGTTCTTGACAATCCAGTAATCCTGTCCCTTCTCCGAGCCATAGCCCACAACCAGAACCGAGTGATTGGGCTCATCCTCGTTGCACTTTTCGTCCGCGTAGATGCCGCTCTTGTACAGCAGCAGACTCTCGAGGCCGTTCAGGGAGCAGGCCAGGGGACCCAGAGTGGCAATCACCTTCTTCATGAGAGTCTCGTCCTTCGGCGGAATGGTGGCGAAGCCGGTGATCTGCGCACCCGACTGAGCTTTGCTGTATTTGCACGAGTCCTTGTTGTCTAGGTACGGATACCCATCGGCCTTGGACACGCCCTTCTGCTCCTCGTTGATGAATGCCAGAGCGTACTCCTGGAAGCCGCCATCGCACCCGCTCAGACCAAAGTCCAGGGTGCCGCAATCGACCAGATTCTGCTCGGACAGATTCGGCAGGGTGCCGGTCTTCCGGAAGATATGACCCTCAATGGCTCCCGTGGTGGCAAAGGCCCAGCACGACCCGCAAGTGCCCTGGAACTTCACCGAAGTAACGCCGCCCTTCTGGCGCCAATCGAAGGACTCGGGAATGCTTACTCCTGCAGGCACACTGGCCAGCTTTCGGTTGGCTGTGGCCTTTGATCTGTGAAAGGATAAAAGGATAAAATAAAGCAAAGAGATTCGATTCGAGCTTCTGACGGACGAACTTACTCTCCCTGTGAGGATTTGCGGCGGCCAGTGAGCTGCGAGAGGAACTCCGAGTTGGTCAGATCCGCAAAGGCATTCACGGCCAGCTGGTAGCTGGAGGTGCCCTTGGCAAAGGCATCGTTGCCGGCATCCACCAAACTCTTGCGTGCAGCAAAGACGCCCTCGTGCAGCGCCCTGTCTGCAGCGGACAGATAATTCTTGCCGGACTGCGACTGTGGAAGATGGTAATCTCAGTATATAAAGTTCTCTTTCTCTCCCGGGAAAGACTTACCAGGAAATCGCCAAAGTTCTGCACATTCGTGAGCTGTGGCGGGGAAGGCAGTCGACTGGCAATGTTGGAGATTCCCTGCTGCACCCTGTTGGCCGCATTCGAAAGGGCTCCACCCAGCCGGTTGCCACCCAAGCCACCTCCAAATCCGCCAAACTGGGCCGAAGCCAAGGCAGCAAAGAGCGGAAGCACCAACAGAAACTTCATCGTGATCTGTGCCGAAGATTTATAGAACTTTACTAGTCGTATGGCATTCCATTTGATTGGGAAAATACAGAAGATCTCTGCGCTGTCTGTCTGTCTGTCTGTCTGTCTGTTGGTTGTCAATTAAGTCTGATTACAAATGATACTTATTAGCTGATCAACAGTCAGTTATGTCATTATCTCTCGGGTGTGTAATTCTGATTTGCATTTGCATTTGCCCAACCGAACCCAACCGAACCCAACCTTACCCGTTCACTCAATCAGTAGAAATGTTTTGGTTATATTTTCTAGTCGGAGCTTATATACGTATAGCTATCATCACAAATCGATTAGATGAGATGTAGATTTGAAGCCTAATAAACTGGTCAGCCTTGCTACCCACCCACCCGTACCTCCCTCCCCTCCCCTCCCCACCACACATACGCGCACAATACGAACCCAAGTATATCCCAAGTCCAGCTCACTTAATGATTATACAGAAACCGAAAAGCTGCCGATTCCGCCACATCTCGTACTCGTACTCGCAGTTGGTAGCTATAATTATAATTAAAGCCATGTGAACTGTTTTAGCTGTTCTAGTGGAGTGGTTTGGTAACTCCTACGTTCTACGTTCATTAAACAATCGACAAAAAAAAGTATAAGAAAAATTAGATTGAAACTGGTTTGCTGTCAATATACTCGTATGTTGGTATTATCTTTGCCATTCCGATTTATGGCCTAAATGTCAGGCCTTTTATCGGTTGGCGCTTTGCTGTTTTACAATCCTCATAATGATTTTGACTTGAATGCGGCTTCCAAAACGTAATCATGATTTTAATTAACACACTTAATCGCCCAGATAAGGTTGATTTTAAACGATGTTTATACACGTATCATGGCAGGGCGGGGGCAGGGGTAGAGCAGGGGGTATGGTAACTTTGGCGGCACTGGAAAAACCGGAAGATCTCTCGACAACTGGTTGCCAAGTTCAAGGCAATTAAATATTACTGCACACAAGATAATCCAATCTGGAGAGAGACAGATGCGACGAAAATGCACTTGCAGCCACGAGACAGAAATAAACTTAACAATCGAAAACAAGTTTATGTTCGCTTTATGGATCCCCAGGAAGAAGATTACAATGACACCAACCAAACGACACAACGACCAAACGACAAACCTTTCTCGGACGATCGACCAACACTAATGGCATGTCCGTGGTCCCAAAACTGCGGCTTTTATAGCCTCCGGCGGATCGGTCTGGAGACAGATGCGCATATGGCGCTATCATGCAAATTCAATTAGATGAGCTACTACTTAAAGACAAAACTCGTATCTCTGCGTGCCAGTATGGGTACAAAAATATGCAAAATATATAAATCAGATGCCCAGTCATTAACATTTAATGTCACTCCCGTTAAAGGGGGCCTGTGGGGGAGACACAGTCTGCCCGAGTGCTAATTAAAGTAGCCGGCAAACACAGCTCCAGCTGGTTCTAACCTGATCCCGGGCCGCGCTGCCCAGAAGTCACCCCAAGACAACTCTAATTTGGGTTCCCTTGAGGGAACTCCCCCGAGGAAACCCGTTTGCACCTACGACACCTACGAGACCTGAGTTGATTGTGTCAACACAACACAACACAATCCATTCCATGAATATTCATGTGGATCTTTATCAGTGGGTTATGCTTTGCCGTGGTTCGTCTTCGGCTACGTCTTCGCCTTCGATTGATTGGCATTGGCATTGGTATGGGATGGGATGGGATGGTATGGTATAAGTACCAGTGAATACAGGCGTGGGTACAATTTAATGTTAATCAATTTATTTATTAATTCTAGCAACACATTCTATAGGGCTATAGGGCTATATGGCTATAGGAACTCGGGAACTCAGGCTTTGGGGCGTCGTCGTGTCTGCACGGAACGTGACTCCTGGGGCTCTTCGTGAATGGGCGTGGCTTCTCGCAGGAAAACGATGGGCTTCCGAAGATCCACTGGCGGCGAGGCCCAGTCCCGGGTCATGGCAAAGCGCTGAATGTCCGAAAGATTAGCCAACATGTGCGCCAAGTGTGGTCGGGTCAGAGTTTATACTTACACCACTGGGTCCATTGATGGAGCCATGTCCCACCTGGGGCAGGGCCAGCGCGAGGGCCAGGGCAGCGAGGAATGTGAGGATCAGAGCGAATTTCATTTTGTGGCGGGTTGGGAGTTGTCCTGTCAATGCAATTGTTTGGCTTGCAATGATTCTGGATGGCCCAGCGATTCCTTTATATAATTTCTCTCATTTGTTTTGGGCAATTCCTCTGTACACTTCCGTGTGTGCAACTGAATCATCTGGCCTGCGATCAGGTGCAGTGCACGTTGCGCGGAGCTATAAATAACGCCCGATATGGGGGTACATGAGCGCACTTTTGCTTTCGTTCGTTATCACGGATGCAGCCTGCCGCCGCCAAGGAGATTCTCCAGAGATTCGTCTTCCCTGCCAGTTGTTAGCAGTTACTTACTGTTCTGTTGCCCAAGGCAGGCTCCTCTTGAGTTCTTGAGCCACAGCACAGAACCTTCCTTCTTGCTTTTTTTTTTCTGTTGTTTTATATTCGTTCGTTGGACTCTGCTATACATTTCAAGGTTGCCTTCACATATATACCTTATACGTGTATGCATGCCTGTGTGTGTGTGTGTGTGTGTGTGCTTCTTTCATTAACCACTTTCAGCAGAAGAACAACAACATCAGTCAACAAAACAGAACTTCAAACGAAGTCACTCTCATCTGCGTCTGCGTCAGCGTCAGCGTCAGCGCGAAGGTGGAGCTGAAGCTGAAGATGAAGATGGAGCAGCAGCAGCAGCAGCAGGTGGGCATGGAGCAGGGGCGGGGGGCACGGTAGGCTTACACTCTCGTACCTTTGGGGATCTTCTGGTTAATGTGTTGTGTCCACAGTCGCTGCTGGCCCGGCCCGCCCCAACTCCATCTTCATCCAATTGTTGAACGACACCGACACACATAAAACTTGATGCGTCTGCGTTCCGTCTTTGTCTCCGTCTCGAAATCCTCTTTAAATTAAGAAAGATGATTTGCAGATTTGAATGCAGACACAGACATCGACTGGACAGACGAAGGGAGAGAACAGACCAGACCACGACCGCGACAGCGACCACGATGCCACGATGCCATCCCCCAAACCAAACCAAACCAAACCAAACCAAGTGATGTAAGCCTGCCAACGAATTTATTTGTTCTTGCTGGACAGCCTCTGGGCCTGCAATAAAAGAAAAACCCCAAACATACTTCAGTTTTTAGAGCCTTAGCAGTTAATTTACGATTATTGGCTTTCATCTTCTTTTCAACTAAGCCAAATAAATGCCCATTCCCCTCACAAATCCCCCTCCCTGCGCTTCTTTATGATTTGTTCATGGCCAAGACAAGTCCCCAGAGCCCGTCTGCTGCGTCGAATCTGTCTCTGCAATATGAATGGATATGCAACGATGTGCTATGCTGGTGAACGAGTAAACGAGATTAGAATCATCTTCTAAGAGGTTTACTGACACTCGTAACAGTTTTATTGGCTCATTTCACAGTAACTCTGCGAGAGATTTCATCTGCTTGTGAGAGATATTATAATAATCCTCCAGCTATCCAGTTCTATAGAGTACGAGTACTCATCCCACACTCAGCCATTAATTCCCCCCATCCTTCATTTGATTGTCGACAGTTTGTTCGTTTTACTCGGTAGTTTTTATTAAATCAAGAGTTTCCTTTTTGTTTTTGTTGTTTTTTTTTTGTGGTGGTTGTCATACAATTAAAGCATACAATATTGTATCGTATCGTATCGTATCGTATTTAAATATAGTAGAATAGTGTCTTAGCTCCTGTAATCTCTCTTGTTGCGCGATATATGCTAGTGGAATGATCAGTGTGGATCGGAAATTTCTAGAGGGGCCCTCGGACCGGCCCGGGCTGAGCTGCGGGATGGGTCCGCAGAGAGAAGCGACATTTTCGGACGTTATCCGGCCGGCTCTTGAAAATGCTCGTTCCTCAGTGGAACCCAATCCCGCAGTGGGTGGGTAGGCCCGCAGTCCCAGGTAGGCCCCAGACCCAAACACACACAACTTAGGCTAGTGGATGCCAGTGGAGGCCTAGTTATTGGACACCAGGGTCTTGCCACGGACCCGCATGGAGTTCGAGTAGTCGGAATCGATCTGGGGTATGATCTGCTGCACGTTGGGGCGCAGGGTGCGTATCAGGTCGTTCAGCGAGAGCGACTGCTGGGGCGTCATCTCCTCCCTGGACGGGGTCTGTATCTCCTGCGAGCTGGCCATCTTCTGGAAGTCCTGGGCAATCTGCTTGATGCGCTCCTCGATGGCGGCGGCAGCGGCTACCGGCGACTCTGTGGAGCTCGGCAGCGCCTCACTGGCCTGTTCAGGTGCCTGGGATTCGGCCTCCGAGTCGCCGTCTTCACTGTCGCCGTCATCCTCCGCCTCGTGCTCAGCGCTGACACTCTCCTCGGCGGCAGCGGGGGCGGCGGGTGCGGCTGCGGCTGCGGCTGGTGCGGCATCCGCATCCTCATCGTGGTGCTGCAGCTGCTGCTGAACCTCTTCAATGGAGTGCATCTCGTGGTGCAGCTCGTTGTCGTGCAGCGGGAAGACGTGCTCCTTGATGTCATCGGCCTCTCCATCGCCGACCAGCTCGCGGGCATGCTGACCGAATTCATCGGCGATAATGACCCCGGCATGATCGTCGACATCCACATCTCCATCGCTCTCGCTCTCGCCCTCGTGCACGCCCTCGAGCCCGTGCACCTCGGGCTCCTCATCGGCATCCATGTCTGTGTCCTGGTCGTCCACCTCCACGTCAATGGCATCCTTGTCGGTCAGCGAGCGATCTTGGTTCAGCTTGAAGGAGTGGAACGACGGCGAGCTGGCCTCCTCTGCCACGCGCTGGGCAATTGCTGGCGACGACTTGGCCTTGGCGGCCGTGTACAGCCCTCCGGTGGTGGACATGAGCAGGGGCAGGGGCGTGGTGGTGGTGCCGTCATGCAGATGCATCAGTGCGGCAGGCGGTCTGGGCGTGGTCGAGGTGATGGGACGTCTGTGTGGCACAGCGTTCGTGGAGAGGGAAGAAAAGAGCAGAGGAGAATCAGTTGCCAGTTGAGTTTTGCTTGCTTCACAGAGGCGTAGAGGTTCGGTACGTTTGGGCGTGGTTAGTGCGAAAGTTCGAGCTGTAAGCTGCTTATACTAAAGTTAGTTAGTTGAACACAAATCATCATGACAACCACAACGACAACAACAACAACAACAGCAACAGCAACGAGAGCGAGAACATAATCTATAAGGAAGCTAAGCCCCAAACCACCAAACAAATTATTACGTAGAGGAGTTTCATTTCATTTGAGATCTCTGTAAGTGATCTTATCGAGCAGATCTTATGCGAAATTCTTTTGGCGCTCATATGGAATCGAACGGATGAAAAGTTAATGCAATCTTTGAAGTTTATGAGAAATAAATTCAGATAGAAATGTGGATTTATTTGTATTGTATTTGTCGTATGAAAGTTTCAAATAAGAAACGGAACTGAGATTAATCTCGTATATTTTTGGCTCAGATTGCATTAATTTACGTGGTTCGGTTATCGCATTGGCGTCTACAAAGAATTTTGATAGATTTTGAAATCTCTGACATCTCGAACGTTTTGTTTTGTTTTGTTTTTTTTGTTTTTTGGACGGGTGCGTTAGTAAGAAGTTAGCTAAGAGCTTCGCATTAGTCTTTAGTCTTTAGATGTATGCATAGATTGACACGCAGGCACACACACACACACACATGCACATACAATATGTATCTATGTGTGTGTGTGTGTCTGCCTGCGTGCATGTGTGTGTGTAGATTTATGGTAGATTTTTGTAACGATTTGGGGTTTAGCTCACCTATATTTCAGTTTCAGTTTTTTTGTTTTGTTTTCTTTTGGCAAATATCTTTTGTTCGGACTGGGAATCGGAATCACATTTAGATTCGCACTCTGTCTCTCTCTCTCTTTGTGTGTGTGTGGGTGTTCTGTAGTGTGTGTGTGTGTGTGTGTGTGTGTTTGTGGTCAACTAAATTAACTTTCATTTAATCAGGTTATCCTTGCGTTTATCTCTCGATTGCGATCGTATCTATATAAATATATATGTGTGTAGGTGTAGGTGTGGCTGTGTGTGTGTGTGTGTGTGTTTGTGTGCTCGATTTTACTTAATTAGGGAGATTTGTTTAGTCGCCGCTGGCGGGCCGTTCGTATAGCGAATGAATTAACTTTAATTATAGTATAATAATTTGTTTATTGCATTATGAATATGGTTCGTTCTTCACTGCTCCTCTTCTCTTCTCTCTTCTCTCTTCTCTCTTCACTTCGTTACTCTCTTTGCTCTTTCCTCTCTTCTCACAATTCTCGCTTGATCTTATTCGCGCCTTTTCTTTTCGCTTAGTGGCTGGCCGTGGTCTAGTGTCCTTACCCCTGCGCAGACGAGACCGGGATGCTGCCGTAGTTGTAGTAGTAGCAGCGGGTCTGCTCGCAAATGAAGTCCTTGACGGCCGAGCAGTCCTCGGGCATCCACTTGAGCGTGGGCTGCTTCAGGATCACGCATCCCTTCTCGGCGCCACTGCTGCTATAGTTCGATATGGAATGGGAACGGAAACGCAGAGAGAGAGCGATGTAAGTGGAGATACATACTGGGGGCCGGGCAGGGAGGCTGGGGATCTTCCTGGAGTACTTACCTGTCGCGGGCGGTGCGCTGGGGCGAGGTGTTGCTGTTGTGATCGACGGGATCGAGGAGGCCGGCCTGGATGGCGTCCGCCGAGTTCTCGAAGAAGTCAAAGGTGGCATTGAACGGTAAACCGGTGCTCATCCATAGGAACATGCCCGTGCCCAGGCGATTTCCGGATGTCCAGAAATCGTAGTTGCCGTAGCCGGCATTCTTCAAATACGTGGTCATCGATTCGGCCTTCTCCTTCGTCTCGAACGAGGCCAGCTGCAGGCCCAGGGAGCGGCAGTACTGGTAGGCCAGGAAGTAGTTCAGTTCCGGCGAATAGGGATTCATCCGGCTGATGAAGTACTGCACTCCATCCAAATGGATTGTCGTAATGCGTTGACCTAATCCCCGGAAGAGCAGAAGCGCAAACAATTAGTTGTGGTTTCTGCAGGTGAACGAACCCCAAAATCCCCAAGACCCCGAACCCCAAACCCCAAACCCCATCCGGAGATGCCGCTCTGAATACCGAAACAACACCTATGAAATCGCAACGCGTAACCGAAATAATTGTTGTAACGGTTTCAAATTCGGACATCGCATGCGTAATAGCCAGAAGCCAGAAGCCAAAAGCAAAAAGCCAAAAGCAAGAGCCAGAAACAGAAACAGAAACAGAGCCACAAACAGAACAAAGCCAAAAGACAAATATCATTAAATAGGATTACCAAAAGCGGTCGGCTATTGCCTCTATAAAAAGAAGAACAAACGCCGAACTTTGGACACATGAATCATGACTCATGATGATAATGATGACCAGGAGCATTTATGCGGTCTCTGACCCGGAGTTGTGCCTCTAGCAGCTAATTACACACTCAAAATCTGATGGGGAATCAAGGTGCTGATGACATTAATTAGCTGGTGGTGGCTGCTCTGCTCTGGTCTGCTCTGGTCAGCCCGAAGCGGTAAAAACACGCATGAAAGAATGTAAGGGAGAGACTAGACTCTTATTTAATCGCTGACCCGAGAATTGCTCTGCTCTCTGCTTTCATTGCCCAGCTCTGGGTGCAAGATGACAGTGGAGGTTGCTCTGGCCGCTCCCAACAGGTAAAAGATCTTAGCCCTCTCAGAGCGTGCTAAACAGTCATCTGTGTGTGTGTGTGTGTGTGTGTTTCGTGTTTCGAAAAATAAACACAAATACTTTGAAGGCACCTCCAGGCACTTGCCTATTTATGGCACTTGTCGCGGATGGATATAGCCAAGGGAAAAGGGTACATGGCCATCCATAGGAAACGTATAGATAGACAGGGTTCGGTTCCAATGTTTGTGCACTCACTCGCACGTCAATACACGTATCTGTGTGTGTGTCTATCTGTTTGTATATGAAATTATTTCCGGCGATTTAAATGCAAGACACACACGAAGCCAAGTCACAAAGTCTTCCCTCCGAAAGAACGCAGACGTCGGGCGATCCGAGGGGAGATTTATGAATGGGAAGCATGGGAAGACTGACAGCAGTCGAGCGGATTTATTATGCATCTGAGCAGCTGAGATTTCAATCTCTTAAGAGAACCAACCAATAAGAATTCCAATCTGCCTGGGCAGAAGCAAAAGCAATTCTCAAATTTCATTTTAATTGATCAATTTATTCCCTCAACTCAAATCTACGAGAGGGATCCGATCCAACTTAACTCGAGAATTAATTCCCCCAAATGAATCCAACTAGATCGCAATCTTCGCTTGGATTGGATTCGTGGTAAACAGAAAGAACCAACAACATCTCCATGGAAGATAACGAGAAGGAAGCCTCTGTCTCAGCACTCGACTCCACTCCACTCCTCTACCATCCGAACCCCATCCAATTGCAGTTAATTTGACACTGACTCTGACTCTGAACGTGAACTCGAATCGGGACCGGGACCGGGACTGGGACTGGGGATCGAGTAACCCAATAATTGGACAGCATTTCGCTCAGATTCCCCCCTGCAACCGTGCTATTTTCGAGCACTATAATTTCGGAAGGTAATTACGTTCGGCCAGCGATAGATACTCCTAGATAGATCGCGAATCTAGCACGTCTCTAATGACGCAGTCAAAGTCAATGCTAGTGTTTGCCCCAGACTTTGATGCTGATGTTGATGCTGGAGGATACCCCGGGCCCGGACCCAGGCCTCCCCCCTGTCCCGCTGTCCGAGCAGCGGGACCGATGCTAAGTCTAGTTATTTGTTGGCACCTAGCATCCCTCCGGCCAGTTAGCAGGCAAATCATTATAATGGACATGGCGACTGGGATAAGCAGAACAAAATTGATATTAAAAAAAAAAACAAAGAGCTCTGGCTCCTGCTGGGGTCCCAAACGGGAACGGGAACGGGAACGGAACAGTGCAATTCAGCTTCAGGTAATCGATGAGAAAAGAGCGGAACGAAGGAACAAAATTGATGCAAAAACACCGAACAGACTTAATGGCCGAAGACTCTGATTCAGATATAATGATGGGAATCCATTATCCATTCGTCCGGGGCCAGTTTCTAGTTCTTCCACTTTTTTTTTTCAAGCACTTGGCTATATCATCATTTTGTGCAGTGGTTTGGAACCACGCTTTTGGTTAATTGCTAACTGGAGGAAATTCAATTCAATAGCAATAGAACAGGAAAACATTGGGGAAATTTAAGAAATTTTCACTGGTCCTTTGGTACTAATTCGTGAGTATTATATTAATTTTTGAAACCAAGTCTTTTAAATATAATTAAAGGGACTTTCCCAATGAGAAACTTATTCCGTATTTATATATTAAACTTGTACTAACCTGCAGCGCATGCCAAAAGGCTCAGCACACAGAATAAAATGATTTTGGCCATCTTTTACTTGGTATCGGGTGGCGGTGCAGTGAGTTCAGAGTACAATCTGTACTCGGCTGTAGGCTGTAACTGACGACGATCTAACGAGCTGAGCTGAATGCAAGAGCGAATGGATTGGAAGTTGGTAGACGCGCGTTCGAGGAGGTTAGCACTAGGTACACGACGCGTTCACTGCAAGTCTTCGTCTTCGACTGATCGCTGGGTTGATCCGGGCAATATCACGCAGCCGCGAATGTCCGCCAAGAAAGCGAAGAAGCGAACGAAGAAGAGGCTAGCTGCTTCCAGAACTCCAGCTCAAGCAATACCAATACTACCAATTCCAATTCCAGTTCCAGTTTCCTATTCCAGTGCGCGCCCGAACCGAAGGTAAGGCGAGGGAGACGAAACACAAGACACACGTACACAGGGATACAGATGGAGAGGCAGAAGCAGAAGCAGAAGCGACTTCTTCGTGAGTAATCCTTGGACAGATTTAGGAAACTTTTGTTGAGGACTCGATGTTCGATGATCTGAAGCTAGTTGTTCTGGTCTGGCCAAGTACGCGATTGCAAATGTCGTCGAGAGCTCTGGTTAGTTAGCTTAAAAAGGAAATTTGTGGACGACGGGCTCGCACATGAATGAACCACCAAGCCAGCACCAAAGAATTCCAAAAGAAAATAGTGGAAAGAATGGAAGAAAGAGGCGAAAAGAGTTTAGCCGAAAACCGAAACGGAGTTCTGTTTGCTCATTTCATGGATGTGATTGGAAAGGTGTCCCATTGTGTGCGTGCGCTCTTCCTGTTGCTTGGAAGTCAGAGTCAGTGGCAGTGGCAGTGGCAGGGCCAGTGTGTGCTAGACAAAGAACGCAATAAAGCAAAGGCAAAGGTAAAGGTACAGGTAAAGGTAATACCCGCGCATACACACATACACACCACACTCGCGCACCCATGCATACATATGTATGTATATGTATGTATTATGGTCTGCTGCTGCTGCACGTCGCCGTCATCATTTCATTCCAATGGGGGGAGTCGAGAGTCGTCGGAGTCAGATTCGGATTCGGAGCCAAAGCCAGAACCGAAGACTGCGTCGCCGTCGCAGTCCATTGTTAGTTTTATTCTTTCTCCCACAACGTCGCTTTGGTTTTTGGCTCTTTCTGCTGGTCCCACTGCTCTCTGGCCTGCTCTTACCTGTATAGGGTAGGGTTCTGTTGCTGCTGCTGCTGCTGCCGCTGCACGTTTGTCCCCTCTTGCCCTTGCTCCGCGCCCTTACCGGCCCAACGCAATGTGGTTCCATTTCCATTAATTTGGTACGTTGTGGTCTCAGTTTTTGGTATACCCTTCCTTCGAAGGGTATTTAGATTCCGATCAGATGTTTGTTAGCCTATATATATTAATACAGCTTCTGGATCACACAATCAATATAGCTTTCCTCCGATTTACAATCGAAATATCTAACTAAATTTTGATGCCCGCAAGCTGCTGATCGTTCATCTGCGAGGGTATCAAAAGCTTCGCCCCTCTCCCAGAGCTAGTGTTCGTTTCCTGTGTTGTTGTTCTCGCATTTTTAATAGTTTTCATTTCTGTGATCTTGGCTGAAAGCGTGAAATGTAATAATGATCTTCTCCTTTGCATTTTGACAATATTTCTGCGGGTGCCTGCCGCCAAGCACGAACTTACACTCACTCTTCATCTCTCTCTCTCTCTCTCTGCACAGCACCTCTTCGTTCTACCAAAAAAAAAAAATATGATAAATGTCCGCATGCATAATTATACATAAGTTCTTTTCTAAGTCATCTCATTCTCTCTGTTTCGGATGGCATCACAAACTTTCTAATTAACCCAAGCAATTAGAGAAGGATAAACATTTGGTTTAATGATTATTAATATGGGTAGGCTTAAGTGGAAAGCTAATGAATAGTCTACAGAAAATGATCTAACAAATTGGAAAAGCTACGCAGCAGAACTTTAGAGTTTGATTGCTTCTGTTCCATCGAGTAATATCGAGTTATCGCTTTGAGTTATTTCTCCTCCGCACTGCTATTTGGCTTTATCAATGGTTAATCCCTTTCGACACTGAAATCGACGGGTGTAGGGTATAATTATATACGAGTACGAGTAAATATAATAATGGCCAGGTGATTAAGAGTCATGGGAAATGAATTGCCCGCAATTTCCCAGTTCGCGACGATCCGATGCCAGTGCCAATGCCAATGCCAATGCCAGTGCCTGGCAGTGTTCGAGATTGGGTGGTGCCGGACCAGACCAGACCAGACCGGACCGGACCGGACCTAGGTAGGGCTGCTTGGAGGCGACTCTGCTCTGTGCGTGCTTATTGCAATCAAAAATTCTATCGTAAGTACAACGCACTGAGATTTCGGGCGCTGCTCTTCGGACGCCCTTCGCGGATCGGATCGTGCGATGTGTTCCTGGGTGAAACATCTGCCGCCGGGCCGACGCCGACGCTGACGCTGACGCCTGTCGACAACGCATAGAGGCGGCTTAATGTGACCGTCGCGGATGCTAGTTTGACTCCTTGCAATCTGGATTTAGTGTTGCTGTGGCGGGGGCTGGGGGCTGGGGGCAGCTCTGGAGGATAGGAGTTTCTTTGGATGGCCTTCGCCTTTAACAGCATTCATCCATATATATACTTGTTGCTGTTGCTGTTGCTGCTGTTGTTGTGGCTGCGGCTGTTGCTGTTTCTGTTTCTTTGCCGCTTTGCGCTGGTTGATCTTCTGATCTTCACCATTTGTGTGTGCCTGGCATCGTTGTTGTTGTCCTCGTCCTCCTACTCCTCCTACTCCTCCTCTTCTTGTACGCCTTCACCATGCCATGCCGTTGGTCTGCACTGCTGTCGCCTCTACTACCACTCTTCATCTCTCGTTCTTTCCCCTTTGGTTTATTTCATTGCTAGTTTGCGCGTTGCTTTGCTCTTCTTGTTTGGTCTAAAAATAAACCAGGCCCAAGATATTGAGGAATTTAATTCGCCTTTTGGTAGAAATCCTCGGGTTTGGCTGCTTGCCAACGGACTTTGGCAACAGACGCAAGAACTGTGTTGCCTGCTGCTCTGCTCTGCTCTGCTCTGCCCCTCCTACTCCTGCGTGTTCTCATCCTCATCCATTTTAGCGTCATGATGATGATGATGACGACATGGACATGGCATCTATCCCAGAAAAAGCAGAAGAAGGAAGATAAGCAGCAGACAAAGACGAAGATGAAGATGAAGACTATGACGAAGATGGAGATGGAGAGCAACGAAAGCCATGAGCCAAGAGCCCAGCAGCTACCAACTAATACACACATTTTCCGCCTCAGATCAAAGGATTAATATGAATTGGGTATCTGGCATGAGAAATGACATCCAGATACCCATCTGAGCCAGACATCACATCACAAACTTTCCACTTGCCTGGGTTCTAATTAGAAGAGCTCTCATAAAGCTCTTCTCTTCTCTGGAGAGCCAATCCTATTCGTATTCCTATTCCAGGCATAATACTCGTACTTGTCCTTGGTGGTACGAAGACGAAGGTCATCAGCATTTGCATCGGGGGTTACACATATCAAACTGTCGTGAGGGCCAAGCCCACAAAATCGCTGGAACATGATCTGCAAACCGATGCAGGACCCTAGACCAAACTCCTTCGATCCGTTCTGTTTCGTTCCGTTTGGAACATCTCCGTTCATGAATAAATTCATGCCAGTCCAATAAACTTATTAAAATATGCACAAATGAATGGCAACGTTTTCTTTTCAATCGCGGGGTGGAGGAGTCATAGAGGTACCCCCCCGCCGGGTGGAAACAGGGTCACCCCCAAACAAACCCCCACCATAAACCTACATGTATGTATTTGGAACATCTAGTACCAGGCAGTACTTTACATTAGACCTCCAATCTGTGGGCATATTCTCAGTGGGATCCCACTGCCAAGGCATTGGCTTTGTTCCTCTTTCTGTTCCTCTTATATTGCCTTGACCATAACCATATCAACGGTAAATAATTTCGATCGCAGAGCAAAAAAAAAGACACGAGAAACGAAACCAAATGAGCATTTGGCCATTGGATGAGGCTGCAGTGGAGGCTATGGCTAAGGCTGAGCCTGAGCCTGAGCCTGGCTAACTGGCAATCAAAGACGAGGGGACGATCAAAGAGAGAGAGAGTAGAGGGTGGAGGGTAGAGGGGAGGAAGAGAGATGGAATTGGGGACGACATTGGAGGGGGGTGAATCTGGTGGTGGATGATGTCTATGCAAGTTCGAGTATCTTCTGGTTGAGCTGAGCTCTTCCTTTGGCTGCTTCACGTCATTTCAGATTCCATGTCAAAAGGTGAAGCCAATTCAACGTTTCTGGCGAACTGGGCAAAAAACTCACGACTAGGAGAACAACAGCAATGCCACTAACCGCATCAACACGAAAATCACTTTGAATGGGATACAAGGGGATGTGGTTGGGGACGAGTGCGGAAAGAGTGCGGAAAGAGTGGAATCGGTTGATTTCAACTAATTTGTGAGTCGCGCAACTCATTGACCCATGTCTGATCCGCTTCCACATAACGTTTCTCATGTCTCAATTCGATATAGAACAAAATGCCAGATGCCAGATGGTAGATACTGATACGAGTAATACCCAAGGGTACTGCACTGAGGGAAAGTCCTGCAATAATATAAAGAAATATCTATAACTATAACTTAGCGCCTGCCACTGAACTATTGACTAATACATGCTCCCTCCCCGCACAGTTATCATTTGGCACGAGGCTGTTATTGATAACTGAACACTGTACGAATATTGTCTCAGTGTACTCCACACAAATGGCCAATAAACTTTGAGCTGGCGTTCTTCCCATGTCGCTAATATGGCCATTAGACTTAAACGTTTAGAGGGGCTTGCGGAGGCAAAGGAGCGGTGCGGTGTGGTGCGGTGCGGGGGTGGTGTGTGGGGCCAGGCCAGGCCAGGCCAAGCAGGAAACGAAGAAGCATTCTTAATGAAGGGAATCAAAATAGAAATTGAAGAAAGACGGAAGTTGGCATGCAGAGTTGGCTGGCAGACCAGACAAAAGAGTCAAGATTATAGCCAACTCCTAGTCGGATCCGGCGGTGCTGGAGGGGTGGGGGGGAGTTCATTTGCGAAATTGAAATGCCACTGCCATGGCCAACATCATGCGGGATCGCGGCTGGGTGTGTGGGTGTGGGTGGGTTCAAGAACCCCTCCGAACCATGACTAACCGAATGACTGATAGCTGAATGGCATGGCCCAACTCCAACTCCAAGTGCCGTGCAGAAATGCCCGGCTATGCACTTGACCGATGTCCGCACGCGGCAGGCTAGGGACAGGCCAGGCCCTAGACCCAGTCGAGGCTACATAATTACACACTCGTACCATGCCAATCTCCATGGGGGGAAGCATCAGCATCAGCTTCGGCTCCTGCCTCGGCTCCTGCTCCAGCTGCAGCTCCTCCTCAGTACCACCTAGTTTTGTAGCCAAACGTCGACAGCAGATTGTGTTTATGTCGCCTACGACCAAGTCGGAGTCAGACAGAGCTGCAGATCGAGGAGGAGTCATGAATGTGGATGTGGATGTGGATGCGGATGTGGATACGGATGGGGGTGTGTGTGTGTGTGTTTCTCACGACAGCAGCTTGGACTGGGACTGGGACTGAGACTGGGACGGGAGTTGGGGGGTTGGAGCTTGAACACGCCGCCAGTAGCCGCATTGAGGCCAAAGCCAGGGGCAGAGGCGTTCTCTATGGCGCAAGGGGAAGCAACACGAGCTTGATGACTATTATGTGGGCAGAGGTCGGCGGGGTCCGTCAGTTCTGTGCTATGCTCTTCGGTTCGGTTCAGTTCGGGGCTGAGCGTGAACTTCTCATGAAAAGCCTAACCATGGGGAATTTAATAGTGCTTAGCACTAGCAGAAGACAGCCGAGAACGAACATAGAGCAGCGACAGAGACACAAACAGAGACAGAGACAGAAACAGAGACAGAGGCACAGTCGCAGCCGCAGATACAGATAAGTAGCATTCATTTGGTAGTCAATTACAGGGAGCGACAGATGGAGTGGAGACTCTACTCTCCATCGCAGTCATGCTGGTAGCACCTGGAATTATGAACTTGAGTACCAGCGTCAGATCAGTCACAAGAAGTTGAGCACTGATCTGGAAAATATGCGCATACGGGAGAGGTCAATGCTCAGCACTGTCCCCCCAAGAGATTACGTAAGTAATTGGCAAAAAACAGAAGGCCAAGGCGAATGCTAATGATAATGTGAGCAGCAGAAGAAATAGAAGACATAGAAGCAGATTGTGGGGTAGGGTATCTTATACGTGAGCATATAAGAGTATGGAAAGGAGTGAAAGCCTCGCCAGAATCCTGCTGGAGCAGGACGCTTTCCTCTCCAGACTGATGATGCGCTCCTCGCGCTCCGGATAGACGATCTTGTGCTCCTGGAGGTATCTGATCAGAGCCTCGCGATCGTTCATTAGCAGCTTTGCGAACTCCGGACGATCGGGATCCACAAAGTTGTGCCCGTCGCCGCCAGACAGGAGGAAGGAGGACACAATCACACCGTAGTACTTTTCCCTGTCGACCGCCTCGTAGAAGGGTATCTGGCAGTTGGTTGCACCGGGCGCGTATCGACGAGATGCGCTGCCCCTTGGTGCGGTTGTAGTTGAACTTGAGATGCAGTCCGGACACCTGTAGATAGCCCGCGCCCGACTCCGTGTCTCGCTGATCGGCAGAGTGCTCCAGGGCCTTCATTAGGTGATTGCCACTGATGCGGGTGTAGTACAGGTCGCTGTCGAACGGCAGCACGGTCATCACGTCCGCCTCCGTGATGGCCCCCGTCGGGCCCGGATTAATCGAGGCACGGATTCCTAGTGGGATAGTCTTTATATGGGTAGCTTTCACATTAGGATCTGTCGAGGATCTGTGCCCTACCTCCGGAATTAATCAACCCTATGGCTGCGTCTGTCCAGGATTTCCTCGGACCCGTCTGCTCCAGCACTCGGGCATAGACCAGGCTGTCCGCGATGAAGTTGCCAAAGTTGCACTCGCCCAAGCTGCAGCTGGCCCGATCCCCGTTCAGGTACACCATGGTAGTGCCTACCACGTGCCGTTCCATGTCGTCGATTACCTTCCGCTTTCTGTCCAACAGCTCCTGGACATCGCGCCGGGGATGGACCGAATTGTCGAGAAGCATGGGATTGCCCCTGAAGCTCAACATGTTGCCGCCGTTGTCGAACTGCCGACGGAATTGAATGGAGCATTTTAGGGCCAATTAAAGGTTCTCTTTTGAGAGTTACCTCCAGATCGATCCAGCCCAGATATTTGGTGAAGGCATATGCCTGCAGCACCAGCACCTTGATGCCATCCGGCTTGAAGACGATGGTGGGATAGGGTTCCTCGGGCAGCTCCTTGCCCGGGGGCTTGCCCGTGTAGAGGAACGTGTGCGATTGGCCGCCCACGACGATGTCCACATCCGGACAGTCCCTGGCTATCTCCTTGTCCCTTTCGAATCCGGCGTGGCCCAGAGCAATGATGATGGTAGCCCCTTGATCCAGTAGCTTCGTTGTCTCCGCGCTGTAACCAGATGGAAAGAGTTAGCCCACGGAATGATGCATTCGACTGCCAGAATCCTCAACTTAATGGCGGGTATCTCGTCGCCGAACACCACATCATTGGGCTGGACACGGTCCTTGGTGTCGGGCCGTATATAGCCCACAACCCCGATCTTCGTAAACTGCTTGGTGATGATTGTGGATCTAACCAGCTGCTTTGACGCCTGTAGCTTGGGCACCCGCTGCAGATCCAGATTGCAGGCCACCACAGGAAACTTGACCAGCTCCAGAAAGGAGACGAGACCCTCGACGCCATCATCGAACTCGTGGTTACCCAGCGCCTGTGAGTAGTATGCATTAGTAGTAGCTAGGATATCATCCCGTATTCCCTACCATGGCATCGGGGGCCAGCATGTTCATCAGCTGGGCCACCATTTTCCCCTTGTAGACCGTGTACCAGGGCGTGCCCTGGAACGTGTCTCCGCCATTCAAGTAGATCACCGTGCCTCCCTTTCTGGCCTCTGAGACGCTGAAAATTAAACAGAGACTCCAATCAGTTCGCTGGCCATCGGTCTCCTCACTCTCTGTCCACTCACGCAGTGGCCACGCGACCAAAACCCCCGAAGCAGTGTCCCTCCTCATCGTCTCCAGCCAGGCACTTTCCACCGATCTCCGACTGCGGATCGAACCAGGAGTGCATGTCGTTCGTGTGCAGCAGTGTGAACTTGATTGCGCAGCCTCGCCCCAGCAGAATCAGAAGCACAGCCACGATCCACTGCACAGCCGGCCTCAGCATTCCACAACAGATGTTTCGTAGATTGAAAGGAAAACAAAAGAAGGCTCTGCTTACTCCGATTTCTATAGGCTGGGTGGGCTGGGTTATTTCTTCGTTCCTCCGTTCTTAGGAGGAAACTCCATTAGGGGGCGACAATAAAAAAGAGTGGATACTATTACAATAACCCTACCAGTACTTAGACAGTATCTTATACATATATAAATATTAAACTTATAGCTACAATATATTTCCTGGACTCCGCTTTGTAAGGGGAAACTTCAGAGAGGCGGCCAGATCCTCAATAGACTGTCGAAGAGGTCCCTTCTCCAGCGTCGGACACGTGTCAAACAGCGGCGCGATGACGACAGGTTGGTTGTCGGAAGCGTCTCCATGGTACCCAATCAGCGAGGCTCCGTGGGTGGAACTCTGTCCTTGTTGGGGGTGCCGAAGACCGGCCACAAGCTGCTGGGCTTGGCTATCTTTCCATGGAAGCGTGTTTAGATATTTTTTATTTCATGCTTTATCCTAACGCTGTAAGTATAAACTAATTTTAATTGCGCTAGCCACTCGTTAAAATAAAATATCAGGATGGAAAAGTTACATTATTACCTCTTACTTGTCCGACAAGTCATGACGTAAATATGCAACATATACAGCCAATAATATGCAAGATATATTTAAAAAATTCAGTTTAAGCCTGATAACCTTAAATCATCGAATCATCAGCTCCATTTAAATTGTACAAATTAAATATCTGACCAGAAATTTACGAGGATACTCGTATATAAAATATACTGTTACACACAATACATAGCTTTCGACAGATTCTCTTTCATTTCATTAATATGCCTTGGTCGATTTAAAATATGTATTTCCGTTTTCAGGTGCTTATCTTTCCATTCAATGATGGTAAATGATTTGAAAAGGTAATACATGGGGCCCCATTTGTGGTTAAATAGTCGTGGTAGGATGGTTCTTTTTTTATATTTTGTCGGTCGACCATTCGCTGTAAACCCAGGAGAAACCAAGGCAGGCTTAAAAATAACTAATCGGCTCAAATGGTACTTGTGTGAGGTACCCTCTCCAACTGGTGATGACTTTTTATTAGCTTTGCTATTACTCGCAGGCCTTGTGGGCTTCCTACTCTTTTTGGGGCGTACATCCTGCAAGTTGGAGATGTGATTATCTTTCCCGCTCTTTTGATCCGTTCTCGATGTCCGTTTTAATGCTTACCTCACTTTGGTCGCTGCCAAATTCCGACAGTTCCTCTTCTCCACTTCTCATCTTCGGAAATGTCATCATCCTCATCGCTGTTGGAAACTTTGCGTTTCGCGCAGCTGCTCCACGTCCCCGTCCAGCCAAGGTATCTACTGCCGGGCTTGCCAGATATTGCTCCGCGATTGCGCTTCGTGGATAGACTTATATCACTATCAGCATCGAAGTGTTTGGGCTCTTTTACTTCCTCAGAATCCGAGTTTCTTCTTTACCGGCATCAGCACCAGAATCGCCGCAGCGATGACAGGCGGCATCCTTATAGGCATTCTCTTTGTTAGCATCCTGGCAATAGAATCATAATTAAATTCATAGAAATTGAAAATAAACATTGCAAATCTATAAGGGCGCGCACGCACACGTTGACGCAGGCCCCACATCATTTTCTGTTGCGCTCTATTTAAACTCAAAATACATTTGCGAACAAGCCGTTTTTAATGCACGTTATTGAAACACACTTGAAACTTTGTTTTCAAATAATTTTTAGAATTTCACATACCATTTTCAGGTTTTTTTGTGTTCAATAGTCGCGCTAGTTTTAGAGAGGAGGTGTATCGTGTATCGAAGTATCGTGTCAAATGTGATACGATATATTGCCATGATATTCGTATGGTCGATTATATGGATAAAATAGTGGTAAAAGTGGTTTGGTTTCAAATGAATCAAACAATTAATATTATTTTTTTTTATATATTGTATTTATTTCCCACCCCCACCCACTCTGCCCATTCCTCATTTATGTTGCGACAGGTGAGCTCAGCTCCATCGGTCCCAGAGCCGAAGACCTGGGAACGTACGCTGAAAACTCAGCTGATACACTTTCGTTGTATGAACTGGCCACATCTATATACTGTATGGTTAGTGATGGTGCACTCTGGCATATCGGTATATTTGCGGTATATTTCAGTATATTTGACCGTTGTGATGGTATATTCAGGCAGGCAAATTTTTTCAGATCCAATTTTCAGGCCCTTTTTAAATAAAATTATTTATAAAAAGGGCACAAGCTCAATTACATTGGTAATAATGTCAACTTCATGTCAATGCATCAATTAGTCATCTATTTTTTTCCTTTTACAATTAAGACTTGTTTTGATGCATACAAATTTTCTCGAATTTTTTATTTTATTTTTATTTTTTCCTTATTTTACAAACTTTACACACGGGCCGACAGTCCGCATTCAAATGGCAAAAACAGATATGCGAGTTTTGACTGAATATTTGATTTGAACTTGATTCTTTTGATGCTTTTGCAACTTTGATAAAGCTGTCAACTGATTTGCTCCTGCTGCTCTCTTGTTTTAGTTTTACTTGACTTTGAGCACTAACCATACAGTATATAGATATGCCAGTTCATACAACGAACGTGTATCAGCTGAGTTTTCAGCGTACGTTCCCAGGTCTTCGGCTCTGGGACCGACGGCGTTTGGCACTGGGACCGACAGTGTTCGGCTAATGACGTGACACGAGCCGACTGGTAGCAAGCATGTATGTGTTGTGTACGTGTAACACTCAAAAATATATGATTGTATGCATAGAATAATTTTTAGCTGCCTGAGATTAGCTGAGATTTAGCTGATTTAGCTGAGATTTCAGTTTACGTAAATGTGTATGTGCCATGTATTCTCACATACTATGCTTGTGTGGGTTCTACAATTTTTGGCAGCTTGAACCGAAATTGGTTTTTATTCCCGTACTCAAAAACAGTTAAGGGGTATATTTTATTTGTGGTAAAAGTGAATGTGTGTAACGCAGATAAAGAAACGTTTCCGACCACATAAAGTATATATATTCATGATCAGCATCAAAAGCCGAGTCGATATAGCCATGTCTGTCTGTCTGTCTGTCTGTCCGTCTTGATAAGCGCCTAGTTCTCAGACACTATAAAAGCTAGAGCAACCAAATTTTATTTACAGACTCATGTGATCAAATCTAGGATACCAGGCGAACAGAAATCAACAGAAGGTCGCTGGTTTTTTTAATTTCTCGTTTTTTCTTGTTTCTCTTTGTATTTCGTTGCTCTCTTTTTTCGATCTAATTTCTCTCATTTTCTGCCTCCACTTTCCACCGCTCAAATGGCAGAAAACCCATCACAGCTCAGAACCGAAGAAAAAACTTCACCCGAAGCCAAAATCATTCGAAGATAAGCTTCCCAACGAAGGGTCAGCGATCCAAAGCTCGAGAAGAATAAATTAGTTTCGTTCGAGACTTTCTAAAGTTGAGTCGAGGAATTTATATTCATAGCCACAGTTTAATAATAAGTTTTGTTTTATAAAAATCCTTTTTTTTAGAACATAACATAGAGACTTTGAATTATTATTGGCACAGCCTGTATTCGCGTAACTAACATTTATGTTCCGGTACTGATATATTGCAAGCAAATCTAAGCGACTAGATTGCTGGTGATCAGAGTAATCCCATAACGATTTGGTCAAAAGTGAGTCCCAAGTAATCCAGCCCAATATATAGCACGAATCGAAAACAGCATTAAACGACAAATTCAAGAATCATACACCCTTCAACATCCTACTACGACAACTTTACTTCACAAAATTAAACGGCAGTCTTCGCCTACTAAAAGAAATGATGGGAACAATCAACCGCAACCTAATAAAAATCATCATCTTCATTACGTCATGACTTTTTCATCAAGTAGACAAAACTGTGAAATAAACCAGTCAGTCCCGAAACGCATATTTTATGTTTGATACAGCAACAATCGAACTACCCATAAACTTTTTGTATCATTACGAAATAATAAATGTAACGAAAACAGAAGAAATATCTAAAAAACTTTTAGATAAGACTAAAGAATTTGAGGACAACATATACATATGTACATCGAATATCTAGTAAATAAACTCAATACGAAAATAAATGAACTGAAGATAGCCATTCTTAGTAAGATAGGCCTAAACAATACTGTAGGAACAGCATATGAATACTTATTCGGCGCATTCGATCAAGAGAATAGGAATAAATTAGAACAAAAAATAGATAATCTGGCCACTCATAGTGTCCAAACGAATGAACTAAGCCTAATTATCGAAAAATTAAGCGAACTGAATGAAGAAATAAATAACGGTTAGAAATTTTAAACAGATTCCTAGAATTCTTAGAAAAAATGGAATGCAAGGAGTTAAAATAGGTATCATTGATTCAATATTTTTGATTTCACAGGCATCTCTGATGTGAGATTACTATATATCAGAGTTTGCACTTTGCTAAAATTTGACACTAACGAAATTTTTATATTTGCTAATATTCTGAAAGAAATCGGCAAAGTCCATAATATTTCGCGATACGGATTATCAAAATAATACTCTAACAAAGATGACACGTTTTATTCGAACACATTAAGAGATAGCACAAAAATGAAGTACAAAATAAATGGCACTAAAAAGAAAAAAAAGGTAATAAAAAAATTATAGAACGAATTAGAGTTCGGTTAAAATTGTTGGTAAATTAACTTATTTTTGCAGTATAAAAAAATTATATTTGGGTATTTCGATAAAAGATAGCCTTTTCGACAGCTGGGGACTAGATCCACATATTTTTGGATGTAGTCCATTTTGTCGTTCCAATTCCAGTTAGTACCATCCATCTGGGATGTTCTAAACGTATAAGTAGGATTTTTCGATAATGAAATAAACCATAATTTCACAAAGAGAAATGGAGATAATTACGAAGATGTAGACAGTGACAGAGGGTGGGAAGATAGAGAGATAAGACAGGAGAACCCCTAGAAAATTCACGGAGCACGCACCACATAAAACGGGATCAAACATGGAAGGGAGGGCCTGGTCATGGTCAAGGACATCCACTAACCCGCTAAGAATAAAGTGATGAAACAGGAAGGTTTGATTTGTGTTTATGTATATATTCGGTACATATTTTATTGCATTATTACCATTGGCTACCGGGCACTGAGGAAACCCCAATTTCTTCAAATGCTTGGACACACTAGGCCAGGTCGGCAAAAGAGAGATAGTGGACATGTATCCTAAAAAACTTTTTGATGAAGCTGAAAACTATGAGGACATATACAGACGATGTTGGCTGACACTACCAAAAAACACAATGTTTAGAAGAAGCCAAAGTATATAAAGATGGCAGGCCTAAACAGAACTGCAGCCGGCAGTATGGTCTTTTCCGAGCACTTCCAAGCGAGTAACCAATTAGAACAAAAGCAGGATACTCTGGCCACCTAAAACTTTCCTAAACAAATGAACTAAGCCTAATTATCGAAAAACTTAAGCGAACTAAATGAACCGAAATAAATATCGGTTAGAAATTTTAAACAGTTCTATAATGTACTTAGAAAATTGGATGCAAGGAGTTAAAATAGGTATCATTGATTCAATATTTCGACAGCCTTCCCTGATGTGAGATTATTATCAAACAGAGTATGCACTTTGCTAAAATTTTACACGTAACAAAGTTATCCTTATATTTCGTAATGTCTAACAAGATAATCGGCAAAGTCCATAATATTTTCGCGATTCGGATTATCAAACTACGACCAGAAAGATGACATTATTCGATTAGATTATTAAGAGAATAGCGAAAAATGAAGTATAAAATAAATGGTTTCATTTTACTATAAAATAACGGTCATAACATAAGTCTACACAAGACATCGAAGAGGGTCGGTTTAAAATGTCGGTAAATTTTCGGTATATTTGGAAAATAAAAAAAGGTATATTTGGGTATATGTCTGAGGGTCAGACGGTAATTTTGATCGATAACATCCGCGGTCACACTGACAGGGTGACCGTTTACCTTATATTATAAACTTGTTGGTATATTTTGAAGTTCAAATTGCAGTGATGCTATATTTAAAGTACATTTGTATATAATGTTTCATGTTTCACACACTTAATTAATGTCATACATTTTTTGGTATATTTTGGTATATTTCTGACGGTCACAAGGTATATTTGTTTGATAAATCAGCTGTCACACTGTGTCGGAAATAAGTGGGGCAGCGGTGTCTCGGAATTGAACTATTAGATTATTTTATTAAATTAAATGTAAATAATACGCGCTTATGCACATTCACGCAAAGAACACGTATTTGTAGTTACCCACAAGTCTCGTCTCGGTGCGTTCGAGTGCTAAGCAGTTTCTGTGCCTAGCTCGACACACGTGAAAAATAGGCGCTGAAAATAAAATCTTTAGACACACAGCTAAATTCAAGTCATACCATCTACACGTATACAAATGCGCGGAAAGTGAAAAGCGCGTGCAAAAAGTTTCACGAAGTCTCCTGAAGTGTTATCATCCCACCCTTACGGTCACCCACTCAGCCACATAATAACCCACCACCCGCCGCACTCAATAGAAAGTTAAAATGCCGCTACTTGCCTACAAGGAAAGTCACATTCTCAGCGCCCAGCAGCTGCGAAAGCTCAGCGAACACAAATACTCATGTTTCAGCGCCAGCTTATTG